CAATTACTGACTTTTCATGATTTACTGTAGTGAGTTCTTTGACTGTGTAACATATCACTGTCCGGAGGCTATCATTTTCTTTAATATCTTAGCTGAAACTTAGTGCTGACATTAAACTGTTGATATGGTTTTCTGGGGGTGTTCCTTTCTTTTGAATGGCATATTATGTCAGATTTGATATTATTGACCAAAATATCTCACAACAGAAGACTGGATGTTTTTATCACTCAGTGACATACTTTTTTTGATGAATCCAGCCAAAAAAAGTAATCAGTACTCAAAAATAACAATGATAAAAAATATTCCATATTAAATAGCAACCCTGTAGTTATTGGTAGCTTAAGCTAGTCTTATCTACCTGTCAGATTTGTGTTCACCTCACCTAAAATCCTCTTTTCGTCTTCTTGGAAAGGTAATATTGTTATCCTATCAGCGTTACGTTTACTTTTCACCAATGAAATATTTTAATTGTCAGGCGAATTCATCAGATTAATGAAACATTTGTATATTTTCTCTTCTCTATAAGGATTCCAAGAAGTGCAAAAATGGGACAAGGACAGACGAAACCAAAGTCTGTCCTAGATTAGTATGATTATATGTGTGGATTTTCATATCAGCTTGATATTAAACCATTTTAAACTTGTCACAATATTGAAAAAAAAGATAAATCTTTGAACACCGATCGTACTGCGTTGCTATTTAGTTGTTAGTTGCACTCTATCGGTACTTCCTGGTTTAAGCAAGGGTCTATAACGACTATAAAATAAACTTATAACTGCATTGCTCACCATAAAACACCAAACAATAGGTAGATATTAACATATCAGACGGCTAAAATGCAAAATTGCACATGACAACGATTTATAGCCTTGCATGATTTTTCCCGTGACGTTATTTGTCGCGCTGTCGGTCGATGCAGTAACTTATTAGAAAACAAACTGGCAGAAAAGAAGCATAATTCTGTACCTTCAAGCTCCGTGACACGTTTTCATATCCTATACCCTGTATTTGTTCAAGTAGTATTTGCTTAAAATGCTAAAAGACAAAAAAAAACATTATCTTATCATGCCGTCAGAAAATCCGCTTCAACTCGGCACCTGTGGCTGCACTCCCGTGTACTTCCAGCTACATATGACCAGGCAGCTTTACATCTTATACCAATCGACGTCATATGGCGCGCACTTTCGGTACAATCATTTTTCTCCGGTTCCCTTTATTGCGGGATAATTTTCAATTCTGCAGGTTGCATTAGTCGAGCTGAATCAGGTATCATGGATACTTCTCAATGAAATGAATATTTATTAGAAGCAAGAGGGGCGAAGCTAATGGCACATGCGTGACAGTAATTCGTCACTGGACTCAGAAAGGTAATATATCTGTGCAAGACTGCGTTTTTACTGATATAAATAGTGTGGATAGTAATAATGATCTTCATCAAACCCTAATCGATTCCGACTTATAGGGGTATCCACTTCCTGACCTGCCCTGAAAATGTCATTAAAATCCATCGATAACTCTTTGAGGTAAGTTGGCGACGAACAAACAGGCAAAAAAACGGAGATAAATACATAACCCTCTTGACTGAGGCAATAAAGACCCTAGCTCTGCCAAAATTTATATCTATATTTTCAATGTACATGTTATTAGTTTGACCACTCAGACTGGGTTTCCATGCCTAGATCGATCCATCTGGATCGGTCTAACTCCCTGGGGAGTCTCACCAAAATACTATCAACTTAACCGGCTCAAGTGTCTGCCACGCCTACCGAATCAGCTACGGGATAAAGATAATCGCCCCCAAACAGCTTTACTAGGCGCGACAAACATTTAAGCCGGCTAAGTTAATAGCAATTTAGTGAGACTCCCAGGGAGATGGGTTGATCCAAATATCTGTGGGATCGGTCCCTTAGTCTTAGCATATCTACCGTAATAAATAACCTGCGTTAAAAAAAAAACACCAGGCTCTGAATGGCTACATAGTGGAGCACACGTATCTGGTGGGGTCCTTCACAACCTCAAAAATATTTATTTAAAAAGAAAACTGATGCAAATATCCTGGAAGGTGATTAAATATGGCGAATGACGCAGAAAACGCGTAAAGGACCCCAACAACCATGAATAGGGTTAATAAGCATCTTTCACATATTTCACTTGGTTGCTAGATAAAATGTTGTATTCTAACATTGATCTCCCCTTAGATCAGAGACCAAGCCACCAGTGTAACACTTACACTGTATACAGTCACACGAATGATTATATAACACATGAATTAAAAATAAAAAAGTCAACTTACCCAGTAAGAGAATTATTCTCGACACATTGCTGGAGCAGGATAACCAACAACAGACCCCAGCTGGTGGCAGCCATTTTCACGGTTTGCCTCCGTGTTTCAACTGCAGCACGTTAAATGAATGTCGGGACAACTTTCCTCACGCTTCCCTAATCCTCGCTACCAACACTCATGGCCATCCGTTCCAAAAAAACTTATGATCTTATAATTTATAGGTCACAATAAAAGGATTTATCAGGGATAAGATTACCAATGTTAGATAAGCTTCCCAGGGAGCTTGACTCTTATAAAATAAATATAATTCTATTCGGTTGAGCAAAGTGAATAAGAATGGAATTATTTTCTCCTAGGGGGCGACACTGTATATTATGTTAGTTGTGATACTGGTAAGAATTGTGGGTAAGTTACGATAGTTGTTCATTCGACCAGTTAGCGCAGACCAGTTGACACGTAAATTTTATTTTTTCAAATTTTGTTTATGGTTTTGTTGTTTTAATTTGATTGGTACATGTGATTCTTTTTGTTTTATAACTACATTGGTTATTGCTGCAGTGGCTATTTTTATTTTTTCAATATTTTTGTTTTCAAAATAAGTATAGTGTACGTTGTGTTAGAGTGTAGGCGTACAGTGTGCATGGGTGCGTGTTTGGGGTGTGATTTATGTTTATATGAGCTGTTTGGGAGGTAGTTTCGCACTTGTGTAGTGGAGGGATGAGTTCGGAGGTGTTTGGGAGGTGGTCTCTGGTGATTTCCTATGTATGGGAGAAATGAGATCAGAAGTGCTTGGGTTGTGATATTCTGTTAAATCCCTATGTGAGGGAAAGATGAGCTCGGGAAAGCTGTTGGGATGTTATATCCTTATGATTCCCTAAAAAGGGAAAGGTGAGCTCGGAAGGACTGTTTGGAATGTGATATCCCGGTGATTCCCTAGGTAAGGGAAAGATGAGCTCGGAAGAGCTGTTGGGATGTAATATTTCGGTAATTCCCTATGTAAGGGAAAGATGAGCTCGGAAGAGCTGTTGGAATGTTATATTCCGGTGATTCCCAATGTAATGGAAAGATGAGCTCGGAAGAGCTGTTGGGATGTGATATCCCACTGATTCCCTATGTAAGGGAAAGATGAGCTCGGAAGAGCTGTTGGGATGTGATATCCCGGTGATTCCCTAGGTAAGGGAAAGATGAGCTCGGAAGATGTGTTGGGATGTGATTTCCCGAGGATTCCTTAGGTAAGGGAAAGATGAGCTCGGAAGAGCTGTTGGGATGTGATATCCCGGTGATTCCCTATGTAAGGGAAAGATGTGCTCGGAAGAGCTGTTGGGATGTGATATCCCGTTGATTCCCTATGTAAGGGAAAGATGAGCTCGGAAGAGCTGTTGGGACGTTATATCCCGGTCATTCCTTTTTATATATAAAAGGAAGAGATAATACAGAGGTTTGGTGAGGAGAGAGTCTCCTAGTGTTTATAATTTATTTATTTAATTATTTGTTTATATTGTTTCTAAATGATTGAAGATGGTTTGAAATAAAACTCGTGCGCTAACTGCGTCCATATGCACTTTATATGTTGTTTGTGTTGTTTTATTATTAATGTTATGCAGTGTCGGTTATGGTCTAGGAGAAGTTCCAAATGTTTCTTCACTAATTTCAGTTAGGATGTCTCCTCTGTTTTTCACGCTTAGACTTCATTACTTCCAAGCGGCACTGGTGAGACACAATTATGGGGTGCAACCTGATTGGACAGTGCCACTTGTCCTGTGTAGGATAAGCCAGTAACAGGTATACGAGTTCAATTACGCAGAGTAGAGGGGGAGCCTTCTCACACTTGTTCAGAAAAATCCGCAACGTTGAGTAGCTCATTGTTCAGAAAAGAAATTTTTATGGTGAATTTTGGAAAAGTTATTCAAACCCAAACCCTACCCCCCTAATATTTTTTTTTCTTTTTTTTTCCTGACTAATGAGCACATTTGTGCATTGGTTAAATGTAACATGGTTGTATTTATGGTAGTTATATATGACTCTGTTGGCATATTTATTAGTCAAGGATAAGCTGGTTATCATTTTGTTTATTAAGATATTTTATACATGTGAGATATATTACTTTAAAACAATAGTTAGGTAAATGTACTATGCAGGGCACATGTGGCAGTACTAAGGCCAAGAGAGACAACTCTATGATTGGGCTGTCAGAGCAATGAGAACACCTAGCTACGTCCTCGCCCTAAAAAAGATAGGGGTTGCGCAGCTTACTCTCAGCCTAGGCCGACTTTAGAAAACGAATCTTCTTTAAAAAAAATCACTGCCATTTTTGGTCCTTTTTTCCTCCATTTTTACTGAAACTTAAAATCATATCTTAAACTTGATCATGTATGGTAAATCATTTACAAGCTCTTTCATAAGAGCCAAGGTCCCTGGGAAGCTTATCCTACATTGATAGTCTTATCCCATATAAATATTGCATTTATGTGCGCATGAATTAAGAGTAGTGTCTGGGGCTAGTTTCCTGTTAGAATTTTCGTGATTTCTTAAAATTACACCAGAAACAGTTGTTAGTTGAAAGTATCATTTTATTAACATTTGTACTTTGATTAATACACAAAGTACGAATTCAAAGTACATATAGTTAAATATTTATCATATGAACGATAATCATGCATCGCAATTTATTTACAAGTTTAAGATATAATTTTAAGTTTCAGCAAAAAAGGGCCAAAGGTACGGACTGTTAACTGTCTAAATTAAAGTAGCATTAACATTCCTATGTGTGTTCCTTTTTCCGCTTGCATTTAGTAAGGTCCAGATGCCGGTTCAGAAAGTTAATTTTCTTCGTTATTTCGCTTGATATTTTGTGTTCCGTCGATAGTAAAAGCGAAAGTTCTTTTGCACGCTCCTTCTCCTGCTAAGCAACTAACATTGCCTGTTGACGGTATACCTAATAACATTGACCCAGGCCTAAAGCAGAAGTCATTTGTTAAACAAACTTCCTTTTTACAAAGTGGTCGACATACCAAGGGTAAAAAGGTGGTGGAAAATTAACTAGTGCATTAAAAATATCTGTTAAAATATGATTTTTTTTCTGGGGAGCATGGAAGGAGTATTTCTCACGTAGAGTCTCATGTATTTTACTTTTCTTCTGTTCCAGATATAGCGATCTCTATCAAGTTGAGCCAAGAAACATATGATCGACAAACAGTGAACTTTTTAGATAATATTTGATATTTCTGCAAGTTACGTTTTTTAAAACTATGTGTTGGTACTTTGGTCGGTTTGGGGGCAATTGTTTATATGTCAACTTGCTTCAAATGCATCATTTATGTATTCTTCTGAGTCATCATATAATCAAATCACTTTGGATCATTTATTAAACACCAACTTTGCGTGTTGCATTACCTAAGGAGAGAATTTTTATATAAACTTTGTATCGCATTGGATTGCATAAATTAAGTTCGTTATTTAAGGCTTTTGTAGCCCTTATTTATCATTCATGATATTTTTCCTGTAGTATATAAAAAACCAGAAAACTGGTCATTTATTTATAAAAGCACAAAATGGACAAAATAACTTTATATACATATAGTTCATAAGTATCACTTTCGTGATGCAGAAAAGGCGAATTTTGATTGTGAAGGTGTAATTTCAAAATGTACAACTTAATCTGTAAAAAAATCATTTTCTGCTCGATTATACATGTAGACAGAGCATGCCTTGTTTATAAGAAAAATTGCTGAAATTCAAAATAGTCACGTGATGAGGAATGATATCTTCACTAACCAGAACACTCACTGCATCATACCATCAACTGGAACATGCTCCTCACACCACAGTGCGAAAAAATGGAAACAATTCAAATTAGGGTTCATAGAGAATATTAGAAAATCCATTAGTAAATACCTTTTTTCAAAGTATGAAAAATACAAAAACGTTTGTTATGAAGGGCGCAAACTTAAATTAGGAAAAACATCTGTAGGCTTCTTTTAACGGAAAGCGAGAAACTTAAATTCTTGAAAACTTCTCAGTCTGGGCCCTGGAACAAGTTCAAGTTCGGCTGATACATCAATCAACAATGAGCATAAATGTATGTAATTTGTAAGTCAGTATAAGATATAAAATGCAGTTACATTCACTCCCGAGAGAGAGAGAGAGAGAGAGAGAGAGAGAGAGATTCCCTGAACTAAAGCGAATCGACAGGCTGTCCTGCTAATTAACCTCGCTACCAGTTTTAAGGCAAGCATACTATTAGTCGTTTTGCTGAGTTTTGCGGTGGTAGGCTGACTTATTTTTATATATCGGTAGGAATCGGTACATCTCCTCTAATTATTAACTGAGAGTATGGCCTCTGCTCTTGGACATCCCTTATCATCATGCCTTCATAGGGCTGGTCTGGGTTCAAGGCATTAGTAGTACCGGTTTGCACTGTCCAAGGCCCCGTATGTTGCCTCCCATCACTATTCTTCTCCGTTCTCTGTTTTGATGCTGTCAGGACCTCGGCGTTTTCATAGGCAACATTGTCGTAATCCTGCACCTGGGTAACAGCTGGTGCCGAGGAGCGTTCTGTCGCTGGTCTTCTGCCCTTGTTCCTAGAGCGTCGACATACAAAGAAGACCGAGATAGCGATGAGGACGACGGGCACGATAATGGCAAATGTACTGCCGATAATGAAACCTACTGCGACTGCTGTACTCTGATCTACTGGCGCTGCTGCATCAATTGCCGCATCCAAGTGTTGACCTATAGTATTATTATAAACCAGAACGTTACAGATTTTGTTTTAATTCATACAATGCAATTTTCAATGGTTTGATATAGGACAGTTTATTATTACTATTATTATTTTATTTATTATTATTATAATTATTATCTTTTTCAAAAGCCTGAATGCCTTAAGCGTGCATGCCCTTACATTATCGATTTTATAAAAAATACAATGAAATAGATACAATGTTATATGTTTTGGTATATGCTATTATGACTATAGCAACCCAAACTTGCCGCCATGTTAAATTACATGAAAGACACATTAAAATGACGAATAATGCATACGCAGAGGCCATTGCTTCTAGTTTGTATAGACGCAAATAATAGCCTCAAAACTAATGGTGATTTCGCTATTAGTGCACGGTCGCGATTTGCGAGGCTTTCGAGATATCGGATAGCGGGGAATCGTCATGCTTGTGCCCGCTCGCCATAAGCGATGCTTTCGAGATATGGGGTCCAGGTTTCATAATACGTACATGTACAATCTTAGTAGGTACTGAATGTTCCTGATGGCGAATGTTTGTTCCGTTTACACTCGGTACACAGTACTTATATCATTTCAAACGCAAAGAGTTCAGCCAAGGAATTATAACTGCTTGGTTCAACGTAGGCTCTTTTTTGTCTAGAGAAAGGGGATTGAACAGACATAGCTAAGTGGTAGGTGATCAACTTCCTTCATGTAAAGACGAGAAGTAGGCCTTAATAATATCTGCACACAGTAACGGCACAGCGCTTACCAGATGTACCCTTTAAGTATGGTGTACTAAGTTTATATGTCATTATGTAAGTGTGACGTTTAGGGTAATTCCGTACAACCTCTTATCAATAACAGTTTGTGCGAGCCATAAATGAAGGATGCGTTTTGTGGGCATTTTTAAAAAGCCTTTCTAAAAAATGACAATACGGAAACTTGTAGATGGCGTTTGAACGGCAAATATTAGGAAGCCATCAAGCTGGAGTGACTATGAAGCAGATTGTCAGGCAGTTCGGATAGCAGCAAGTTAAGTTTCTAGTCTAGTACTTAAACGGCGTCCAGCAAAGCATGCTCGCTGCCTGGCACGCGAGTCCATAAGCATAATATTATTTACCAATAATTATACATCCACGTCCATCGGATGCCAGTTCATACCCATTTCTGCATGAACACGTGTAGCTACCACGTGTATTGTAACAGTTGTGATCACATGCATGAGTCCCTTTACTGCACTCGTCAACATCTGAAAAGTAAAAAAAAAAAGAAGAAGATCTAGGCCCCGTAACTCGAAAGCAACGCGCGTTGCGAATAGCGATATCACATAGAGGCTACAATGTATTATATGGGACGAGTATGGGCGAGTTATGGAATCGAGACGCTTGCTCTCGGTCGCAACGCGCGATGCTTTCGGGGCCCTGTCCAATGTGACCAAATGTTACAAAACCCATTGGTCGTATTGGGAAATGCATCTGATATTATGATATACTAAGAACAACATGCATTTATCATACAATAGTACCCTACAGAAATGTTCACCATAAGAATTTTATAAAACAAGCAGCTGACACGCTTATCCGTGAGAACACTATTTACCTATACATCCATGACCATCGGACGCCAGTTCATACCCATTTCTACATGAACACGTGTAGCTACCACGTGTATTGTGACAATTGTGATCACATGCCTGAGTTCCCTTGCTGCACTCATCAACATCTGAAAAGTGAGACGGTATCTGTATATATGTCACAATACAAAAATAATTTTACATTGTATGTATGGTCGTATAGAAAATGACATTATGTTTTCACAATCCACGAATAATATCCTTGCTTATACTTCTAACCAAGGAACAATGATCACCTCGAGGGAATTTTTAACAATTTAAAAAAAAATAAAAAGGTTATAATGATTTTTGTTATCCGCGATCTTTGTCTTACCGTTGCAGAGTTTCTTGTCAGCAGCAAGAACGTAGCCCTCATTGCAGGAGCAGTAGTACTTTCCTTGAAGATTGTTACATTTCTGCTCACAACCATGGTGTGACGTTGAGCACTCGTCGCGGTCTAAAATTGATACACAGCTGTTATACAGAATGTATTTTGTTTTAGTACAAGCTACGAGGTAAATATATTTTATATCTTTCATAAAAATGTATTTAAATAATATTCAGCATAATATTTTTATTATTATTACGAGACGCAGGTTATAGTCTTGGAACAAAACTTGAATCAAATATTTACTGTTTATCAAAATATATTGTGTAACACAACGTTAAAATCACTTTGACTTTCATGAGTGCTCAACATAAAATAAAATTATGTTTCCACAAGTTATGTCTTGTTCTAAGATTTATATAATATAAGCATCGACACTACACGCCACAGGTCAACACAGTGCAAAACACCTCTTTTCTTTACAAAGAATATATGATTTTAAATAAAATGCAATCCACACGGAAACTTTGATCTTATTTTAAAAATAAAATGACTACATCTTAAATTAACAATATCTCACTGTGCCTGAAAAAATGGATGCTAGAATCAATTTGATTCGGACATCACTTTTACTTTTAACAAATCAAAATTCAAAATTCAAAATAGCTTTCAATGATGCTGCCTTTTTTAATTGACTCGAAAGCTAAACAACACTTATCATTTACATCCGACTTTACTTACTATTAAGAAATGTATTGACCTCAAATATAACCTTCAATAACGATATCATCTTTGAAATTTAACTGCTTAACAACATTTTGATAACATTTATGTCAAAGTCGCTGAGGTTGGCTTATTTCAAACAAATTGAAGATAAATGATGGAAAAACAGAATTTTTAGTCATTACTCAACCCCACAACAAGGGCCTTGCTCACAACTTGCAACTTAAAATTGGAGCTAGTATGGCATTTTCCTCCCCCCATGTAAAAAATTTAGGAGTATACTTTGATTCTATACTTTCAATGGACAAACGGGTCTCCAACATCACAAGGTCTTGTTTATTCAACATTCGGATTATTGGCACCATAAGGAAACATCTGAATCAATCATCTGCTGCTACAGTTATACACTCATTGGTAACTTCCAGGCTAGACTATTGCAATTCTGTATTATATGGGTGTCCAGATGATACAGATCAAAAGATTACAACGCATCCAGAATATTTCAGCACGGCTTTTAATGCCACAGCCTAGGGATTGCCATATCACTCCAATTTTAAAGCATCTGCACTGGTTACCAGTTAGGGCCAGAATTTTATTTAAGGTTTTAGTTCTTACACATGCTGATTTTTATAATCTAGCTCCACCATATATAAGTGATCTAGTCAAACATTATAGCCCTCAAAGATCCCTGAGGTCTGGTGACAAACTTTTACTGAAAGTTCCAAAATCAAGGTTAAAATCATATGGTGACATATCATTTTGTGTAGCTGCACCAGTAGAATGGAATAAGTTGCCAATTTTTATTAGACAAATAGAATCACAAGAATCTTTTAAAAAGGAATTAAAAAATCATATTTTAAGACATTTTATTCATGAATTTCAATTTTACAATTTTAAAGAAACCTTGGCTTTTTTTACTTTTAATTACCGTTTATTACAATTTAGTTTAGCTCTTAATTATATAAAATATATCTTAACCATTTTTTATCTATAAACTTCTTTGTATTTTATGTTGTACAGTCTATTGAACATTTTATGGATTTTAGACTTGAAATAAATATATTATATTATATTATATTATATTATATTATATTATATTATAATCTTTACTCAACAAAATATCTAAACTTTATTCACCATACGGGGAGACACTGTGCGTGACCGACCAAGAAAGTACAAAACAGCACACGTCATAATACACGTGCGCTAAAACTTATCAGACATGATTTTTTAACCAAATATCAACCTTACCAGAGCAAGTCAGGCCGTTCCCGTCCAACACAAATCCAGTCCTACAGGTACAAAAGAAACTTCCCACGGTGTTGGTGCAGGTATGGGTACAGCCGCCATTGCCAGTGGAACATTCGTTGATGTCTATGAATGTTTTTATTTTAACAAAATGAGTTAATTTGTACATGTATGTGCGACTGTGATAATAGCAACGGTTATATTACTTTTTCCCTACATTGCAATACAGTTTACCTAGAGTCATTATATTTTATGAATACCTTTTCAATTAAGAGATAATGACCTAACCTAAACCCCTTGCATGTATTCAAGAAGCAGCAGAAGGAAATACCAATGTGAAATTTAATATTTGATTGTTTTCTAATTACAAACATGTTACGTATACAGTTTTAAAATAGGACTGAGTATATCTTAGACCCCATTCCCACAGATTTTAGATCGATCCATGCCTGTGGGGAGTCTCACTAGATTACTGTCAGTTTAGTGGGCTTAAGCGTCTGTCCCGCCTACTAAAAGCTGTAAGAGGGTAAATTAACTACTGTGTGCGCTAGGGTGACATCAATTTAGCGTGAACCCCAGGGAGTTAGGTCGATCTGGATAGATCGATCTAAATCTCTGGGAATGCACTCTTATACTACTGCTGCAACTTCTGCTTCTGTTACTGGTAATATGGTAATTGGTATTGCTACTACTACTACTGCAACTACAATTGATGTAACTGTACTGCTACAACTACTACTTGTACAGATGTTGCTCCTACTATTACTACACAATATGCAGTTTCTGTTACTGCTACCACCACCAGCACTTCCACTGATGCTTCTTTTTTTACAGTCTATAACTGTTTTTGCTGCTGCTGCTGCTGCATGGTGCTACTTCTACTACTTCGACGACTACTGCATGCACTATTATTATGGCTATTACAGATTCTGCCACTTCCTATTACTGCTGTTAGTACCACTGTGATACTGTGATACGCCACTGACACTACCTCTGCTTCTATACTGCTGTTGATATTACTACCTGTCCACTTCTGCTACGACTGCTAATGCTGATAAGCAGGTCCGTAGCCAGGGGGGTTCGGGGGGTTCGAAAGAGCCGCCCCTTTTGCTGGGAAAAGGTCCACTCTGGGTAAATTTTGATCTAAGTGCATGAAGTGTTTTTGGGAAAAGGTCCACTTTTTCAGAAAAAGAACCCCCTTTTGAAAATACTGGCTACGGACCTGATAAGAATATCAACAATTCCAATAAACGATTTCATAAACTACTGGCACCACTGCTTCAGTTACTTCTAAGAGTATTGTGCTTTTATTACCACAGATACTTCACTACTACTACTATTACTGTTAGATACTTACCGGCATCACACCGTGTTCCACTGTAACCGCTTGTACAGGTGCACACATTGGGGGCGGTACAAGAACCATGGACACACCCACGGCTACAGATAGCTTGTGTAGAATATAACGAAAAAAAATTAATGAAGACTATGGCAGTGGTTACATACATTTAAAATAAATCACCACATGTATACATAATAATAATTTATTGAGCACTGAAATGTTTTTACATTTAGAGGCTCTCTAGCTACTATACATTATACATATGGAAAGATAGTAAGGATAGTAAGTAAATGAAAGAGAAAAAAAAATATACTTATATAATGTTACACAATATACATTCTCTTAATATCCAGGTGAGATGCATGAAATCATTTGTGCACTTCTAGTTAAGAATATATAAACATATGAATATTGTTCACAATAGTGTCCTATATAAACAAAGGCTCAACAAACCCGTGTAATCGATACATATCACTGTATGTACTTGATTAGGATTCGAGGAAGCTATGATGGTAGGCCTACTAAGGTTCAGATTCATATTGATACATTATATATATATATTGTATGTATAAGTGAATGGAAAAAAATGGAAACAGAAACATGACCGACTATCTAAATAACCAGGTAAATAAACAAATAAGGTGACGACATGCAATTTATTTCACTCACGTGTGTTACACGTTGATCCAATTCGTGCCCAACCCGCGCAACAGAATTCAACCTGGTAATATTGTGTGTTGTACGTTGTCACGGTGAGGTACACTGTACCATATCTGGAAAATAAAGGGACGCCCTTGCTGGCAGGTAGATGAACGGGGGCGGATTAGGTTTTTTTGTTTTTTTTAAGTTAAAGATCGACAAACAGTGAACGTACGACATTTATAACTGTAGGCTTAACAATTGTTTTTTCTTACAAAATTGAGCAGCTCCCCTGTATCACCAAGGTAATACTACTAATTATACCTTATCAATGACGTGAGTGGCTTAAAAATTAGGAACTTCTTTCTATATAGATCACCGGTGTCATGTACAGAAAGACCCCATGACAGAGAGTCCGCTCCCCATTCATTTCTTAAGATGATCCTCGCCCTAGATTTTGACCCACTTAGGTCAAACTCACCCTCACCATTGTAACTATATGAACGGCGGACTTTTTGTTACACGGACTCTCAGTTTACTGACACCTGCACTCTGTCGTTCTTCGGGCAGCGGAGTTGGTTTCTGCATGTACCAAACATAAATAATTTTGCGATTCCAAAAATCTTTATTATCCTATTTTTACCATAACAAAGATACTCTGAAATATTATCACCAATTACATGGACCATGCACCTAGACCTAACAGATTACCGTCCGTCCGATCTTAAATTCGGTGTCTATGAAAATGCCCCAAAGAAATCAATGCAATGGCTGTTGGTTTAGCCTATCTCCAGTGACGCATTTGATGGTGTTCGTAGTCCACAATTCAACAGCTTGTTTTTTTTTGTTTTAATAGACAACTTATTTATTTAAATGTTTATATCCAGACATGAAACCAAACACTCCTTGATATAAACCAAAGAACATCAAAAATGTATCCGGTAATTTTTTGGTATGATGTTTATACTTGTTTTGACCAAACCAAAACTAACAATAGCTCACGCAGACCTGTGTGACCGGAATGGTAGTCCGTAGCACGTTCCCTATTACTTTGTACACACATTCGTCCCATATATTAACCCCAATACTCCAACTAGCCCTAACCTGTACTAATCATTCCTAAGATTACCATTCCTGTCTCACCTGTCTTGGAAACCACATTGTAGTCTCTTACATTTTGCCGCCTATAAAGATTTACTTAGGTATATTTCCTGAACATAATAAAATGAGAATGTAGGACGTACATGAGTGTTAAGACATTTAGCTATGATTAACAATAAGTATTCACTTAAAATAATTTTGAGATTAAACATAACGTGCAGATTTCAAAGAAAAATTAAAATATTAATTAGAAGCAAAATAGGGATATTCAACTCTGCCTGTATCTGATACATCGCTTCCAAACCCGCATTTTTTTAATACTTCTGGTACAGCTGTCATGACTGATGTATATTTTTTGGTGCACATTGTAGGGAAAATGTCACAATTGGTGCTCATCAATATAACATTAGTATAAATAATAGGTAACACTACTTACCTGTATCGCTGACAGGACAAGAAACTGTGACTATCACAATAAACGCCTCCTTGCTTGCTAACCTTTTGATAAATCACGAAGGACATACTTCTCTGTTGAGTGCAGACATGTCTAAAATAAAATAGTTTTTGCTATTAATAAATGTTGGACAGAGTTCATGCTATATTAATAAAATAATATATTTTCTGCCAAAATCCAAAACGACCGCCATTGAATAGGGTGGGTCACCTTGAATTCCTTATCTTGGGAACCCAATGCCACAGAAAAATGTTTTAAGTGTAAACTCCTATACTAAGTGAGGGATCCCCAATCATCTGCAACTTCTTTTAAGGTCACTGGAGATCAAGGTCATGACCTAATCACAAAGTCAAGATATTTTGCGCGCCAAAAAATAACATGATGTCCATATATTGGTAACCTAATATCATAAAACATATTTTAGCATCATCTCTTATTAAATGAGGTACCGCCAATCTTTTGCAACTTTTTTTCAAAGTCACCAGGGTACCAGGCTATGACTTAAATTTCAAGGATACTTTTTTTCCATATTATCTAAATCATTGTAATCAGGTGTCACAGAAGCATGTTTCAATATCATTTCCTACTAAGTAGTGTTCTGCGAATTATATACAGATCCTTTTTACCAGGGTTTAATGTAATTACCTTATTTTCAAGGTCATGGCATTTTTCGCTCGGTCAAAATGTCATCGTGTCTACATTTCGATAACCCTATGCATGGACATAATAACGAAGGGACTTAGAACGCGGCATCTTCCTTTGATGCTATGTGCGTTCGGGTAAACATTCACCCATTGTCTCAGATAAGCTGCTTTGATAGCTCCACGGGAGCCTGAACAACTTGATATCAAGATCTCGCTCGCTGTGCCTCATTGAATTTCTTTTGTTCTTTTGCATTGACAACGCAATTTCTCGCGGACCCTCGTGGTTGTTATGATACAGCATTGCCACCATCTTGCAGTTGAGAGCAGAGAGGCTTGCGTCAACATGTGGAAATTTTTTTCGGGTTTACAGTATCTTTTTCCTGTACCTCATTAAACGGGTTCTGGCGTTTGTCTTTTATACTTATTATCATGTCCAAGATTAATGATCTATGTTGAGCTTATATATAACTGGTTTTAAAGCAATGTACCGGCTGATTCATGTGTGGTGCCAATTTTCAACGAGAGCCGATATTGAGAGTAAAAAAAAATATCAATTATCGTTCCAAAAATAGAGCAAACTTTAGCAAGTAGTATGAATCTATATATATAAAGTACACAGCAGTGTTTTCGTCATCTTTATTTTAAAGGTACATAAAAAATAACAGACTTAAAGAAATGTCAGCGAGCCTAAGAAATCAGAGAGAAATTGCGTCATTTTAATTCAAGACACGATTGAAGGTATCATTATTGGCGAATCTCAGGCTGATTACTCACATAGAGAGAAAATTTCGACAGAAATATTTTCTTATCGGATCATAGCTAAAAAAAATATGCTACACTACAACTATACAATTCTGATTGCTCATTTTACGCTAACAAACAAGATTGCCATTACCGCACAGGGCATTTCTAATTCACCCATGAATAAACATATCAAATTCTCACTTAGCTTCCAAATTGTTAGAACATATTGTACTTATACTTAATCTCTATACGTTAAATGTCTCATCAGCCCGAAGTACGGCCTCACGTTATCGCCATTTACCTGTCCAAATGACACAAAAAGTCATCGACAACAATGATATGCTCGCTAAATGTACGGAAGGTCACATGATCCGAACACACACGGTTTCTCGAATAGCTCCCGCTAAGGGCTAAGCCGATTATCCAAAAAATTGACCTTGCTCCGCGTTTCTAGTCCCTTCGTTATTATGTCCAAGCCAAATGTCACAGAAACATTCTTAATTTATCATTTCATACTGTCTTACAGTAGTCATAATAAATGGTGATGCATATGTATATGTGTTGTATTTTGATCACCACAGAATCAAATTTCTAATAAACTCCATGATGGCCTTGCAAATAGTTGCAAATGATTGACAGGGCCCCATTTACTAAGCGTTGATTGGCATGTTAATCACGTTTCTGTAGGTGACATTTGCTTATTGAGAAATTATGGTATTTATGGTATTGTCATGAACTTAACCTCTGGTAGCCTTTAAATTGGTTGCAATTGGTTGTTGATTTCTCATTTAGTAGGGATTGGTATATTAAACATGTTTTAGTGACATACGGTTAACAGGATATAGATAATATGACATTATTCACCCAAAAAGCACCATGACCTTGACATTTGTTCATAACCTTAGCCTCTGATGACCTTGGAAAAAGTTGCTGTGTTTGGCAGTGCTTCACTTAGTTGGTATTTCTTATAACATGTTTCTATGACACTAGGAATCTTTAATATAGACATTATGGTTTTTTGCTCCAAAATGCCTTGACCTTGTTAAACAGTCACGTCCTTGACCTTAAGTGACCTTGGTAATAGTTGCAATAGATTGACAGTACCTTATTTAATAGAAATTGATACTTTAAAATATTTCTGTTTCATTGAGTTTCCAAGATATGGACTTCAAGGTGACCAACCCCATTCAATGGCGGCCATTTTGGATTTTTGTGGAAAACAAGACTCTGCCATAGGGGATTTATGGGAAGAATATTTTGGGCTATACTGGGCCTTCAACGAACGAGAATCAGTTGATAAACCTTTGTCACCAAGTTTTCCAACCCAAGTTGTTTATTGACTGGCTTATTTATTCCGTTTGGATGGAAATTGGAGAATATTTAACCCTCCTGCCCCCTTCCCCCTCCATCAAAGACAAATCCGGATCCACCAGAGATAGAACCCAAAGTCACACGCGTACATTTATTTTTAAATGATACACTTAATTAAATAGAAAGAAAACAAGTCGACGTACCCTGTCAAAGTGTGGACATCCCCCAGTTGCTGAAGCAGTATAAGCATTAACAGGCTACGTCTGGTGGCAGCCATTTTCACGGTTCACCCCCGTCAAGCGACTGCAACACTTTAAATGAATTTCGGGACAACAACTTTTCTGACATATTCATCCACCTTTACTCACACTCAAGGCGAGCCGTTAAAAGCCCTGAAATGGCATCATATTTGATTAAAGAAAAAATATCTGGGTACACTTGATGTAATGTTTATACAGGGTGGGTTGTTATCGGTTATCAAAGTCCTGAATTCCAGGTGCGTCAACTCATTTTTTTAATGTCAGCCTTTTCCTGCTTGCACTCGGTGAGGTCAAGGTGCCGTTTTACAAACCCCTTAGGGCCTATTCCCAGACCCTACCCGCACGAAAACGAAGTAGATACTCCAGCGCAGTAGCCTACTGCAATCTTACTGCAAACATGCTTCAAATCTGCTTCGATTGGGGGGCTAATTAGCATATTTGAAACATGCTTCTATCATGCTGCTAATCTACTACATTAATGCTCCTCCCCTGTACAACCCTATGTAATTTTTGAAGTAGAATTGCAGTAGGCTCTACTGCATTTCTGCTGCAAATAAGCTCCACACCACTACTACGTTAATGCTTCTTTGCTACTTCGATACTACTGCATTTTCATGCGGGTATCGTCAAACTTTGGATCGATCTATCTCCAAGGGGTTTTTCGCTAAATTTATGTCAATTTTAGCGGCTTATGTGTCTGCCACGCCTACTGAAGCTGCTAGGAGATAAATAATTATTGTTCAGTAGGTTCAGTGGCGTGCCAGACATCTACAATGAAAGCCGATGTAACGAAACTGAGGGCCCGTGTAACAGAAAGTATGCCCTCCATATACAGACTTGACATTTAATATGGAATATTTCAGTCTTAAAGGTATACCTAGGCAAAAATGCGTTCTTTTTTCAAAAAACTCAGATCCCAAATAAAATATCTGACTGGAGAAATATAAAGTGAGGTGTGTCTCCAATTAAATGACCGAGTCTGTAGCACTGCTGCATTTCGTAATAAGCAGTTATTTAATTGGCTAGTCCTTCTTTGGGCTGGTCAAAGCTTGGCTTTGGCAAAGCATGGTTCTGTCGAAAATGTATCCATATGTCGACAACTACTGTATCGAAGAATTTGAAATTTTGCATGTAAGCGGTCGGTTTTGCAGTGCGTAAAATGAGTTAAGCAGTGTTTTACAAAACTGTTAAGCTGTGCCAGAATGGAGCGAAAAAGACAGACATTGCCAGACAGATTAATGTGTCATACGGAATGGTCTGCACAGTTTTATAGAGTTATGCCCAAACTGATGTACCTACACAGAGACCACGCCCAATGCATTGCCATCTTACCACCAGGGTACAGGACCCACAGTCCTTCAGGATGCGTTGCTGCGATTAAACCTAAACTACCCAGTCCGTTTTAAATTAGGGGCAAATTGTCACTAAAACGCGTTTTTCAAGGCTCTTAGCGAACACCAAAATGGTTTCAGCAGGTAAGGATATCAGACGACCTCTGAGGAAGCCACTGTAAACAGCAAAACAGCGTAGTCTGTTGCTCTAATGAACTGGGGACCATGACCGTTTTTGGGTAGAACACTGAAACCGCGTGGTTTTCTTTTTAGAGGTCAAATTTCACCCGTACCGCTAAACCGGTCAAAACAGAGTTTACAGAAATTCTGAACAGGCCTACGACAAGGCGTGTGCCACTTCTTAAGTGACTAGGGTCATTGACAGCGTCAAAAGAAGAGTACGTTCTTTATCAAGAGTGGGGGATAAATATTATTCTAAGGAAAGTCCGATGAAATCAACACAACATTTCCAATACGACACAAGAAGGCAAATTCAATTAAATTAAATCAACCAGACGGTAAACACCGACAGGCTTTGTCAATTTAAGTATCTTGTTTATTTTAAACAGCGCAGTATATGCGCAGTAGTTTGAATCCCGTGCTTATACTAATTCATTGGCGGTAATTTATCCACGCTCCTGTATGTATCAGTAGACCGACCTAGGGTAAGCCTTAGTGATAAAGGAAATCCTTCTAAAATGTTCAATAAAATTTATTTTGTGCTAAACAAAAGGTATTGACTACCATACACGTTAAAGTAGGCATTAAGGAATGATATTTTACAGATCTGGTGCACTTTAAACAGGAACGTACATTTGTATTCCCCTTACAATAATGGGACCATACTGGAACGTATTGTCTGTATTGTTTATGGGGGGACGTAGCAATAATTAAAAGAAGAGTTGAAAATCTATAAGTAAACATTTATTTTCATAAGATAAAAACTATTAAAAGCTTCCCTTAAAGAATGTAAAGCTGAAATTGGGCAATGTTATTTTGTTTTAAACATTATTTTACGGAAAGCAAGCAACTTAAACACGATTTCCTCATTGAGCATACATATATGTGCATCATTTGTACATGTAAGACGATGCAAAATATAATACCTTCCATACGCAAACAGTGTGTGTGAGAGAGAGAGAGAGAGAGAGAGAGAGAGAGACTGATCAATAGCGATCTAGTTTGTCAGATTATACGGTCAGGAAAATAAAAATTAGGTCCCAAATCTCCTGTGTTGCTTTTTTCTACTGACCCAACGTGACCTCACCACCACTTCTAAGCCGAATATTCGTAGTCGTTTTGCTGGGCTCTGCGTTGGTAGGCTGACAAAGTTTGATATTCACCGATAGGTGCCGGCACCTCTCCTCTAAAGCTTAACTTCGTGTACGCACTCTGCTCCTCGCCATCCTTTACCAGAATGCCTTCATAGGGCTTGTCTGGGTTCGAGGCATTTGTAGTATCGGTTTGCACTGTCCAAGGCCCCGTATGTTGCCTCCCATCACGATTCTTCCCCGTCCTGTGTTTTGATGCTAACAGGAATTCCGTGTTTTCATAGGTCACATTGTTGTAATCCTGCGACTGGGTAGCAGTTGGTGCCGAGTAGCATTCTGTCCTTGGTCTTCTGACGATGTTCCTCTTGTGTCGACATACAAAGAAGACCGAGATGGCGATGAGGACGACGGCCACAATGACGGCGAATATCACGCCGATGATAAGACCTAATGGAGCTCCTGTACTCTGTTCTTCTGACGCTGTTTCCTTGGCCGTCTCCATGCGTTGCCCTATCGTAAAATTATAAACCAGAACGTAACCGTTTTTTTTTTTTTAATTCATATAATGCACGTTTGACAAAGCAGCTGACATGTGCACTGTGACACGTTAATCCGTGAGAATACTATTTACCTGTACACCCATGACCATCGGAGGCCAGTTCATACCCATTTCTACATGAACACGTGTAGCTACCACGTGTATTGTGACAGTTGTGTTCACAGACATGAGTTCCGTTACTACACTCGTCAGCATCTGTAACAAAATGTTGATTTGTGTAATGTGACCAAATATTACCAAAATCATAAACCGCATTGGAAATGACATTTGCTATATGATCTTCTAAGAAAAAAATCCATTTATCAAGTCCAGTAGCATACCATTTACCTGTACATTCACGTCCATCGGAGGCCAGTTCATACCCATTTCTACATGAACACATGTAGCTACCATGTGTATTGTGACAGTTATGATCACAGGCGTGAGTCCTGTTACTGCACTCGTCAACATCTGAGAAGTAAAAAAGTCAATCTGTGTAATTTGACCAAATGTTCCAAAATCCATTGGTTTTATTTGGAAAGGCATTTGTTTTTTATCATTTGCTAAGATCAACATTGCATCTAGCATATGCTACTACAATTGAAAATGTTCACCACAAAAATATTTAGAAAGCAAGCCACTGACCTGTACACTGTGACATGCAAGCTTAATAGAATACTAATTACCTATACACCCACGTCCATCGGACGCTAGTTCATACCCATTTCTACATGAGCATGTGTAGCTACCACGTGTATTGTGACAGTTGTGATCACAGGCATGAGTTCCATTACTGCACTCGTCAACATCTCGAAAAAAATTAAAATATGTTAAAATATTATTTTTCACCTTCCTTAGATGGAGTTATTACCTCCGCTAAGGAGGTTATGTGTTCGCCCCTGTTTGTTTGTCTGTCTGTCTGTCTGTCATCAACATTACTCAAAAAGTTATGAATGAATTTCAACCTGACAACCTGTCACAACCTCATTCCCAGATGAAATCTGACTGCAAGCAGATGAAATATTGGATGGTAAGATCAGACTAATATAAACAGCTAAAGACAAAATAATCTTTATAAGTCTATTACAATAACATAGCTAATGAAACTATTCTACACTACAGAATTGATTTGGTTTTGGTGGTGATCTGGATCAATAATAAATCAATAATCAATAATCAAAAATCCAAAAACTAAGTTATGGACCGATTTTGATGAAATTTTTAGGAACTGTCAGAAGTGGGCTAAGGAACAGATGATTAGTTTTGGTAATCCGTATCAATATTCAATCAATAATCGTTAATCAAAAATAAAGAAAACTAAATCATTACAGAATGAAAATTTAGGGGTGAAACGGCATTGGGTGGAGACTTCGCTGCCTTGGAGAAGGTCTGCGCTCTCGGAGTGCTATTCTAGTTGGAACTACGACCTTAGGCAAAATGTTTACCCTTATGAATGCATAGCGAGAAATTACGAAAAAATGAATGGAAAAAAGAAAGTTTTCGAGTTAATGACATCTTTGACACAGAATTGCAGAATTTCTTGTTAGCGGCAAGAACAAATCCTTTATTGCAAGAGCAAAAGTATTTAATCATGAAGATTACTCACAGCCATAATGTGACGTCCAACACTTGTTTTCTTCTCGTTTTAATTATTCTTAACCTTTTTTAACGAGCACATCACTTCAAGAGAACTTATGAATGAGCAAGCACCTCTGTCATTTTCACTGTGACGCGTATTATGTACATGGGCAGACTACCATGTATTTACCTGTACATCCACGTCCATCGGACGCCAGTTCATACCCATTTCTACATGAACACGTGTAGCTACCACGTGTATTGTGACAGTTGTGTTCACAGGCATGAGTTCCGTTACTACACTCGTCAGCATCTGTAAAAAAAAGTAAAACATGTTAAAATATTATTTTTCACCTTCCTGCTCAGATGCCAAAGAGGTTATGTTTTCACCTCTGTTTGTTTGTCTGTCTGTCTGTCATCAACATAACTCAAAAAGTTATGGATGAATTTCGATGGAATTTCCAGGGTAGGTCAGAAATGGGTTACCGTAGAATTGATTAGTTTTTGGTGGTGATCTGGATCAATAATAAATCAAAAATCAATAATAAAAAAAAAAACTAAGTTATGGACGGATTGTGGTGAAATTTTTAGGAACTGTCAGAAGTGGGCCAAAGAACAGATGAATAGTTTTGGTGATCCGTATCAATAATCAATCAATAATCAAAAATAAAAAAATAAATAATTACAGAATGAAAATTTAGGGGTGAAACGGCATTGGGTGGAGACTTCGCTGCCTTGGAGAAGGTCTGCGCTCTCGGAGTGCTATTCTAGTTGGAACTACGACCTTAGGCAAAAGGTTTACCCTCATGAATGCATAACGAGAAATTAAAAAAAAAAGAATGGAGGAAATAAAGTTTTCGAGTTAAATGACATCTTTGACACAGAGTTGCAGAATTTCTTGTTAGCGGCAAGAACAAATCCTTTATTGCAAGAGCAGAGGTAGTTGCCATGAAGATTACTCACAGCAATGATGTGACGTCCAACACTCGTTTTCTTCTCGATTTTCTTCTATTCTTAACCTTTTTAACAAGCACATCACTTCAAGGGCACTTGTGAATGAGCAAGCACCTCTGTCATTTTCACTGTGACGCGTATTATGTACCGGTAAATGGGCAGATAACTATATTTACCTGTACATCCACGTCCATCGTAGGCCAGTTCATACCCATTTCTACATAAACACGTGTAGCTGCCACGTGTATTGTGACAGTTGTGTTCACAAGCATGAGTCCCATTACTGCATTCGTCAACATCTGCAAAACATAATTCGTATATGAATTCCATCAATGTTACAAAACAATGCCATTTTGTCTCACTCGGTACCATCGCTTTATTGACCATGTACTAAGTGGAGCTAGTATTTGGCACTCAGATCAGTATAAAGCATCTTACACGTTCTATCTTGGAAAATACATTTCATCACCTGAAATCCATATTTTAAGGAGTAAAATTATATGACTCGATTATTTTGTAAAATAGACGGCTTCTCTGCCTTACCGTTGCAGAGTTTCTTGTTAGCAGCAAGGACGTAGCCTTTGTTGCAGGAACAGTAGTAGCTCTCAAGAAGATTGTTACATTTCTGCTCGCAGCCATGATGGGACGTTAAACACTCGTCGTGCTCTAATATTAAAATAAATCAGCTCAAATTTAGTTTTGATATTGGTTATAATCAGCATAATTTTTACCAATTAAATGTTAACGTGTTAACACACATTTTTAATGTTTTTCGACATTACAAAACGCATGCATCATCTAAATACAAAACATAAACAAACGTTTTGGATAACTGCTAATCGGTCCACACAAAGGCACAGTTCATTCAAAAACATTCATTCAAAACATTCATTCAAAACATTCATTAGATTCTACCATCAGATATATATATATATATATATATATATATATATATATATATATATATATATATATATATATATACAGCATTGGTCAAAAAGGATATCGTGTCTAACATGATTAATGGTTTAAAAAATACAAAATAGTGGTGAAAATATACATATTTTATTCCATTTAGTAAAATTTATAAGAGGCATCCCCTCAAATCGACTGCTTCACTGTGACTTCTACAGATGTAAAGAAATGTCTATAAAATTGAAAAGACACCATCAAATGTCACCAAATTCACACACAATTAGCATTAGAGTGGGTTCGTTAAAGATCACGTTCCTAACAGCTAGACACGGTATCCGTAAAAAAAGCACTATTTTCAACAGTTCACAGCTGTGAGGTGATCATTTGTAGATAAAAGTACATAAAAAGGGGATGGGACAACCTTTTTGACCAATGTTATATATATATATTAAAAAGAACAGCAGCTATTTTGCCCCGACCAGTTTCGTTATTTCTTCAGGGAGTTTTGTTTATTTGTTACTAGGTGATGTCATAAGGCAAAAATGTGACGTCTGTAACAATGGGTGTTTAATTGTTGCTTTTACCAATGCTATTATCTATTCAATGTAGGTCTATACTTATTAATGAATAGATTTTCTTTAATTTCCCTTTCTGTTTGGGTTGTTTCCCTTGTGACTTTATAAAATGTGAATACCGTAAAGTCCTTGTTTTTGTACATAGAGCATTCCCTAATGTGCCCACTCACAGACGTGCACTGATATTAGGGTTGTCTTATTTGTTGTCTGTGAACGGTCATTCTATGTCGGAGAGTGTCTCCAGTTTGTCCTATATAGTTCTCACCGCATCCACTGCAGTTTAATACATAAATTAAATTTGAGCTAGTGCAGGTGAATGGGTGTTAAATTCTAAATGTAAGTCCATTTTTAAATGTCAGATGGCTCCCCTCTTTAAATATTGGACAGGTGCCGCACCTGGGTACCTCACATTTCTGTACTCGTATTGTTGAGGTTGCCACACTTGTCCTGGAATTGTTTTCAAATTTTGCTTTTGTTAAAATCTGCATAAGTGATGGACTTTGTCTCTTACTCTTTATAATCTGCATTTCAGTTAGTATCTCATTCATTTTTTCATCTTGTTTTGCCAAAGGTAAATTTCCAGTTATGACAGTGTGTACTTCCAGATTTTCTGGATTATATGTTGATATGTACGATATGGCTTCCTTTTTAATTTTGTCTTTGGTGGTCCTCAGGTCGTTCATCTGTATTTTTTTTTTTTTTTTTTTTTTTTGCCTTTTTAATCCCAGTTTGTATCAGTTGTCTTGGGTATTGTCTCCTTAATAGGAATCCTTCCAGTTCTCTGAGCCTTTGTTTTAATATGGTTTAAATTGAGATAATTGTGCATAGTCTTCGAGCTAGATTGTATGGTATGTTGTGCTAAATGTGTCTGGGATGACACGAGTTAAAAGGGAGATATTGTTTTGTGCCTGTTGTTTTGTAATACACATCTGTATCAATTTTTACTTGACAGTCATTACCATAACATCGAGGAATGGGAGTTGTGTTGAATTTGACCCATCGTAAATTGAGGGATGAAGGTTGTTCAGGATCAGGTTGAAGTCTTCCAATTCATTTTCTGTTTTGTGCCAAATTATAAAGCTGTCATCAAGGAAACGTTTCCATGTGTTTTTTAATTGATTCCTAAATTCGAGTCCAAACCGTTCTTCGCATTTTTGTACAGGCCTTTTTCGATGTATCCTAAGACAAGTGTAGTATAAGTGGGGGCTACTTTTGTACCCATTGCAGTTCCTATTTTTTGGCGATAATGTTTGCCATTGAAGTGGAAAGTATTTTTGTCAAGATGAACTTTAGTCCTTCTGTAATGTGGGTATTTTGGATACGTTTTGGAATATGTGACGGGTATCTTTCTATCCAATAGCTGATTGCCTAAATGACCAGATCATGAGGGATGTTTGAGTACATGTAGGTAATATCGAAGGAAACTAGTATTGAATTTCCATTAATATTTTTTGGCAAGTTGTTAAGGAAGTCCACTGTGTCCCTTATGTAGCTTTTTACTTCTTTGGTAAAGGGTTTTAATAAAATGTCTACAAAATTGCTGAATCTGTGAGTTTCACATGCTGACCCATATATATATATATATAACAAAATTATATCATTATGATCCCTATATTACCCTTACCAGAACAAGTCAGACCGTTCCCGTCCAGTACAAATCCAGTCCTACAGGTACAAAAGAAACTTCCTACGGTGTTGGTGCAGTTATGGGCACAGCCGCCATTGCCAGTGGAACATTCGTCGATATCTTTGGTTATGTTAAAAATCCAATCGTTAGACATCTGGATTTACTTAATGGCATCAAATATTAGTTTAATATTTTCAAAATTAATAAATCACGAATTATCACATATTGTTTTAATCAGTTTTTGTTCCAAAATGCCAGATGTCCCTATATAATTGGCAACAATTGAAATCTCGCGTGCAAAAATCAAGTCCTAACTCCTGTTATATTTTTATAGGGACCACAAAAAACACAATGTACCTCTACACAAGTGTCTGTCCGCCTGCAGGGCATAGCCAACATTGCAACTACAGCGGTAACTTCCCCGGATGTTGGAACATACCTGAGAGCATCCACCTTTATTGGTGGAACATTCATCAATATCTGAAAAAGACATTTGTGTCAAAATAGATTCGACCTTGCCATTTTTGTGTAGTTTATATTAAACCCAATATGTTTTAACAGTTTCGTGGTTAAAAATAGTCTCTGGATCACGCACTACGAACTTCGAATACAAAGAAGATCTACATGTACCACGCAAATCCTCAGTACATAATATAGACTGCTACATAATGACATCATGAAAAACAGTATACTGATCTATGCAATTTCAATGCAGTTAGCTAAAGATATGTCAACTAATGGCTTTCATTAACTTAAAAAATAACTCATATATAAACATACAAGGTGACCACCCCCCCCCCCCCCCAAAAAAAAAAAAAAAAAAAAAAAAAAAAAAAAAAAAAAAAAAACATATTCTACTAAATTTTAATAGATCCTGCAAAGGTCCATCAAATTCAAGAATTTTTAAGACATTTTAAAAGAACATAACTTTTATGCAAATAACGAAGATAACTGAAACTTTGAGGAATTATCGTACACACTTGGAAGTTTATTCCAGAATATTTCTTGAAATCTGAGGGGCCTTTGGAGAATTAAATGAAATGTGTATTTTTTATTACATCTCGTCACCAATAGAATTGTGACAGGAGTGATCACATCTATGGGTGCCTGCCGTACATTTGCTTATGTCTGGAGAATAAATGAATTGATCCATTTCATGAGATCGGTGCTTGGGACAAACGCTGTTTCTCAAAAATTATTTGTTACATAAATTATGGTTTTATCAATGTGGTAGGCATCTGGAACATAACCACTGGATGGTATGCTTAAGGTTTTAAAGGATTAAAAACCTTGGTTCTATGGTACTTATTGTAATGTTCCAGGTCGGTTTCATTTTATCTTACTTCAGTTTTGGTTCTCACTATGTTCATTTGTTTTGCTTATTAATATCGCAACATAAGCATGTTCTCCCCATTGTTAGCTTGTCACAATAATATTAATAATAATGAAATAGACAATTACTGAAATATTTGTTCTTTTCCCAAAGTATAACCCACCGTTACAGTTTTTAGTGCCAGACAATACATATCCAGTTCTACACGTGCACCTGTAACTTCCTGCAGTGTTCACACAGTTGTGTTGACAGCCATGGGAACCCGTGCATTCGTTGATATCTGCAACAAAGTATAAGACAACAAAGTAGTTGCACATAATGCACAAATAGTTTCAGCATTCTCTTGAATGCATGACAAGACATAATAATAATAATAATAATAATAATAATAATAATAATTAAATAGACAATTATTGAAATATCTGTTCATTTTCCCAAAGTAAAACTCACCGTTACAGTTTTTAGTGCCAGACAACACATATCCAGTTCTACACGTGCACCTGTAGCTTCCTGCAGTGTTCACACAGTTGTGTTGACAGCCATGGTAACCCGTGCATTCGTTGATATCTGCAACAAAGTATAAGCAACAAAGAGGATGTACAAAGAGGATGTACAAATAGTTTCTGCATTCTCTGGAATGTATGACAAGGCAATTTGAAAAGGTACTTTTAACTGCAGTGATACTACAGTAACTACACTTTTGCTGTTAAAAAATTAAGTTATTGCAATCATTAATCCTCACTACTACTACTCACCGGCATGACACCGTGTTCCGATGTAACCTCGTGTACAAGTGCACAGATTGGGGGCGGTACAAGAGCCATGGACACACCCACGACTACAGAAAGCTTGTGTAGATAGAAATGGATATTGCTAAGCTATATGAATGAATATTAAGGCAACAGTAACATGCATTTAAAGGAATGAACGCCAGCGTATTTCTTCTAACAGCTTTCTGCATGAACAGATCCTCTTATTATGTAATAAACTCAATAAACACATCTACTCGAAATATGTTCATGCATATAACCCCACAGTATAAGACACATCACTGCCTTTACGACTCAAGGATTATAGCATGCTGTTTTAGAAAATACGTACACTAAAATATAGGTTTTGAACTGATATAAACATTGAATGAAAAAAATAACCAAACAGATAATTTAAGGAATATCTCAATATAATCATATATATATACACTGTAAGATTAAGATTAAGATTAAGATTAAGATTTTACTTGTATTATAAATGTACACGCGTGTTACTCACGAGTGTTACAAGTTGATCCAGTTTGTTTCCATCCCTGACAACAAGCTTGTGCCAGGTTGTATTGTAACTTGTACACTGCCTTGTTGTAGTATGATATAGTATATCTGGAAAAATACAAACTTGTCGAAAGTAAATGAGATGAATGGGGCCTGGACGTGGTTTTGATATCAAGGCAAACACTGTGCTTTAGACCTTTATTACAGTTATTGGATTTACTTAGAAGCTTTAGCAATATTTCCATGTCTTAACATTTATTTTTAACATCATACCCAAAATGTTGCGAAATCTACTATTTTGTAATTCAATTGTTACAAAAATGTTGTACAGGTCTAAAAGTGCAATATTCTATTTTAGGTACCCTGACATCAGGGGCTAGGTTTCTACCTGTACTAAACGATCTGAATACAGCAAAAATAATCAAAATGATGAGAAAAGAGACTTCCTTTTTTATATTTTATATTTCTTCTGTAGAGATCGAGAGACTCTAAACTGTAAATTGCAACTATAAATCGTTAGATATTTAGCAGACAATCGTTAATCTATAATTATGTATTCAAAAATAGTTTTATCTCCATAAACACCGGTGCAATTGTGTGTTTTACCATTCGCAACCAATATCTTTGATACCAATCTATAGTCCACAATACAACAACCTTGTCGAAAAGGCAAGAAATGAAATTGTTCGCAGCATGACTCTTAAGAATGCCAAAAATAAACTTTCTGAAGCATGGCATGTTTTCCACTTGTTTGAAAAAATAAATAGTAGGTCTTGGAAATCACATGAAGGCTTTTGTTTATGTCATATTTTGCATTCGTTGCCCCTAAAACTTCCTTTTGGTGCATTTATTGAAAATAACAAATGGCTTTTTGCATCAAGATGACTAAATGCTACTCTCTAGTGGGGAACAGAATGCTGAAGAGCAACCCCCTCAGTTAACAAAAGAAGTGTCCATCTAGTCATCTATCTCCAAAAACCATATTGAGACTATTCTGTACTTATTTAAGCATGCTTGTCCTGTGCCTAATTTACTTTGACCAACTGAGCAGATATGCTACTCGTAACACAACGATTACGTCGCTTTCATTCATGGTAGGACTGATCTGTGAAGCGTGGATTTGCACACAAATGAGGTCAAGTTCCGGATGTCGGATTTTTTTTTGTGTGACTGCAATTAAAGCCCCCGTCAATCAAGCAGAATGAGCCTGAATGAGGAATTTTCAAAATTCGCACCGTATTCGGGAAAACGTTCAAATTGACCTTAATTCCTGTAAGAGTACAGTTGGAATACTCAGAATGCGCTTGAATTCGCCTGGAATGATTGGTGCACTTTCGGCTGTATTAGTTCTCAAATGCAGTTCGAATGTAGTTGGAAAACTAGGAAATTCTATAATACTGCCAGAAGGCAGTCAGAATATTCAGAACGTACTTACTTTGAATGGCTAAATTATTATTTCAGCTCATTCGAGGCGCATTCGAAACATTCTGGTGGGATTTTATATCCCCGTCACACTAGAGGCGGAATGATCAAAAATGACGTTGGAAGTACAATTCGTTGTGCATTCTTGGATATTCGAAGAGCATTCTAAAAATTCTGAGTGCATTCCAAATATTTTACTTGTGGCCGGCTCGAATGTTTTGCCCATGTCAAAAACTTTCGAAGTGCATTCCAAGTGAAAAATTATCGAATGGCATTTGAACAGTATTCTAACTGCACTATGACTGCATTCTAAATATTCTCACGGCATTCCGACAGCATTCGAAACATTCTGATCAGTTACCATTCCAGTGGCGTTATTTATGCACTCTGGACATCATGTTGCATTCTAAACATGTTAGAAAGTAATTTTAAGTATTTTAGGTATTTCAGCTGCATTCTGTTTGAATTTCTTATATTTCAAACCATCATTGGCAGCCATACCGGGAGCATTTGGACTGCATTTGAGTTCGCTTCGTATATTATTCGAGGCACCTTCTTACATACTTTAGCCTGTCAAACCGCACTCGTAAGGCATTTGGATTTCATTCGGAATATTCTGACTGCATTCTAACAACATTCGCAATATTCCAACTACATTCGAGCTGCATGTGAGAGATAATATACCTGAAATGCGCAAGAATCATTACAGGCGGGTTCAATGTGCATTCTAAGTATTCCAGAGGCGTTCTTATAAAGCCATAAGATTTTAGGCCAATCTGAAATCCCCTCATAATTATGGCACGAATTTTTCAATTAATTCATTCCGGCTGGTCCTGCTTGGTTCCTGCTGGTTTCGAATATGTCTGGGGGGGGGGGGGCTTAAGTTACGTGGCAATTCGAATATCCTTCGAATGTGATCAGAATGTTTCAAATATTGCCAGCATGCCGTGAGAATAGCTAAAATACAGTCATAGTATAGTTAGAATGCTATTCAAATGCTATTCAATAATGTTCTACTTGGAATGCACTTCGAAAGTTTTTTTAACATTCAGGCCGACCACGAGAATGAGTAAAAATATTTGAAATGCACTCGGAATTTTTAGAATTCTTTTTGAATATCCAGGAATGCAAAAAGAATTGTCTCTCTGGCGGCATTCTTGCTCATCTGCCTCTAGTGTGACAGGGGTATTAGGCATTAATGAAAAAGCAGTTTGCTATTTGTTGAAGGAAAATGAACAGATTTTAAAATGTTGAACTTAAATCTCGATATAAAAAGAAATTTAAAGAGAAATTTAGGAGTAATCTTCCAGTCAACCTGTATCCGGGCCTGTATCTAGTGCTTATGCTGATGTGAAGATTATGACTGATCATGACTGGTCTACTTTTTGTTTTAATAAAATGCCACAGGCCAGAGTTAATAATGAAATCACCACGTACCTGTATCGAGTGCAAGTACCCCACCCCCAAAACCCACAACCAGTCGTATATCGTTGAGTTTGTTGTTTGGTTGCTTTTGTATAAACCATCACCGATGTACTTCTCCAATGAGTACAGACATGTCTAAAATAAGACAAAAATAATGTATTAATTAAACATAAACTTTCCACGTTTAAATAATTATCAAAGTCTCTTTTTTTCTATGTCCAAACACATCTCATGCTATCAACTTTATATAGAGTAGAGGTCAACATTAAGTAATATAGGTGACTGTAAAAACAAGGCCATCTTGTAAGTACCCTGAGTTTCAGAGATAACTGGAAATTCACCTCTGCATGTAACTGATCAGTTCGCTTTTACATAAGGTAGACATAGGGATGAATGAAATCAAAGAGATTACTAATAATGCCGGAGTCTTTACAATATTGAGTGGTGATAAATTTTAAATTGCACATGACAACGATTTACAGCCTCGCCCGATTTTTTCCCGTGACGTTTTTTGTCGCGCTGTCGGTCTATGCAGTAACAAAAACGAAAACAAATTGACTGAAAAGAAGCATACTTTTGTACCTTCAAGCTTCGTGACATGTTTCCTTATCATAAACCTCGTATTTCTACAAGTATTATTTGTTCAAAATACCAAAAGACAACAAACAACAATGGCATACCCTACAAAAACTGAAGGGTAAAAAGCACCAAGAAAACCTAATTGAAGCAGACACATGGCTTAACCACTTCTATAACCTATGGAATCCCACCCCAGGACGAACAAGAAATAGATAATCAAATCAAAGCACATGAAAATATGCTAGGCGAGCCCACCCTCAACCTTCCCATAACTGTACATTAAGTCTAGAAAGTCATACGAAAGTTTAAAAAAATAGAAAATCTCCCATTGAAGACATGATAAGAAATGAAATGCTGAAGACAGGGGCACAGTAACTTACAGGTGTGCTTACTAAACTCTTTAATTTAGTGTTAGATACGTCAGATATCCCTGATCCATGGAACCTTGGGATTATTATTCCACTTTTCAAGTCAGGAGATTACATGAACCCCTCAAACTACAGAGGACTCTGTATCACTAGCTGTTTGGGAAAACTGTTTAACTCTATATTAGCAAACAGAATCATTGAATACCTCCAATCAAAAAACAAGTTAAGTTAGATCGGTCGTTACGTAATTTGACGATTTGCGCAATTTCAGCGCATCGTCAATCATCTCTAACGACACTTCAGTCTGTTTTATAAATTTGAGGAAATTAAATAATTATCTATAAGATAAACACACATCCTCAACTTGTCTGAAACTCTGTATGATCGATACAGATTTTCGACAACATTTGTCGTCTATCCATACGACAACTGTAGCACGTTCATAGACTAATTAGGCCTACCCTTCAAGAAATCGTCGGAATAGCTCATTTTCCAATTTGAATTGGCACTAGAAAAAGTATGACAGCTAAAGCTCACAAATTATGCACGTAGGTGCTATATCATGTAAAGAATAAGTGTTGTAAATTCCAATCAAAGCGGCTGCGTACATTTTGAGGTAGAACGCCCTGAATGTGCTGCAAACCGCAGCTTAGAAAACCGGAAGTGCGGGACTTAGGACTTAGAGAAATTTGGACTGAGAAATACTTTGTAGCTTTGATACAAATGTTCAGAAAATGGCCATACAGCTTGAAGAAAATTCACTAATCAAAATTGAAACTGCGTTATATTATACAGAAAAAATTGTGCACTTCTGACCTCGACTTGTCAGTGTCAGTGTAAACAAAGTGCACTGAACGCACCGCAAGCAAGTACGTGAATGCCGCATTTGACACTTTGTATCAGACGCTTCATTTTACTTGACAACACGGTGTTTACGATGTCACGTTCATGTTATATTCATAAATAAATAACAACGGCAATAAACTATTTTCATATGCATGAGTATTTCCCTTATTACTCTCTTCAATAATTTTGTTGTAAAGTTAATGGCTTACACCTTCGCATCAGTATGACAAATCTGAAAATAGCTGAGTATACTCACTTCAACTGTTAAACATAATGAAAGTTTTTAATGTACTTAGATGTCTCTCCACACACACACACACACACACAAAATGATAAATAAAATAAATAAATAAATGAAAACGATTTAGTGCAAAAACACCCATTTTCCCATTGATTAGAATGGGGACTTCCGACTAGGGTCGGGTGAAACGCACTTCAACTTGGCGTAGTTCTCTTATTTAGTCGGTGACCCCCAATTTTTTTAGCAAAATTTAAATCTACTTGGATGCCTCTTTACACAAAAAGTTTTTAAAAAAAATTCAAACGTTAGAAAATAATAAAAAATAACGTTTTGGTGAAAAACACCCATTTGCCCATTGATTTGAATGGGGACTAGTACGTCACGCAGGGTGTAACATATTTGGGCCTAGTTCTCTTATTTGGTCGGTGACCCCCAATTTTTTTGGCAAATTTTTAATGTACTTGGCTGTCTCTTCAAACAAAAAAAATTTTAAAAAAATTCGAACGTTGGAACATGTAACGACCGATCTACCTTAAGTGAGGAACAAGCAGGATTTCGGCCGGAGTATAGAATTACCGATCATATCTTCACTTTGAAATCGATAATTAACAGATACATCAATCAAAATAGGAAAGTATATACATGCTTTATTGATCTGAGAAAAGCATTTGATACTGTGTGGTACAAGGGTCTACTATTGAAACTACTCAAAACTGGAGTAGGAGGAAATTTTTACAGCATCATTAAAACAATGTACAGTAACACCAGATTAGGCATCTCTGTTGGGGAAGGGTACACAAAGCCTTTTATATCAAGGATAGGAATCAGACAAGGGGGTAATCTAAGCCCTACCCTCTTTAATGTGTCCATCGATGATATCAAATAAATCTTTAAGAACAAAAATAAGGACTGCTCAGTTGATGGCCAAAACCACATCCTTTATGCAGATGACCTTGTTCTGTTATCAACTAGCAAGGAAGGACACTTAACAGCACTTCAAACATATTGCAGACAGTGGAAGCTTCAGGTGAATGAGAAAAAGTCAAAGGTTGTCATCTTTAACAAACAAGGGAAACTAGACAAATATATAAACTTCTATATAAATAACAATATCATAGAATCTGTGAAGAATTTCACATACTTAGGCATAACCTTCACAAATACAGGGTCTTTAAAAAAAGCAATTGAAAGCTGAAACAAAATGCAATGACAGCATCTTTTGCACTGAAAACAGCACTTTCCTCACACCAAATAACTTCTCCCCTTCTATACATGAAATTTCAGAAAAAAACACACCAGGCTCTGAATGGCTAAATAGAGAAGTATACATGTATCTGGCGGGGTCCTTTACGACATAAACAATATTAAAAAAAGAAATTTGATGCAAATAGCCCGAAAACATATCCCGAAAGCCGATAAACATGGCATAAAACGAGTTAACGACCTCACCAGGCATGGATAGGGTTAATTATCTTTCCGGTTTTGGTTTGTTTGGAGGATAAAATGCTGTGTTCTAATTTTGGATCCACGCCCCTCCCTTGATCGATCCTGTATCCACCATGCAGTGATAGACCTATGGAGTCACATATATAATAGATAATTTTTTAAATCAATAAAAATAAAAAAGGAACGTACCCTGTGAGAGAACGAATTTCACTCAGCTGTTGAAGTAGTAAAAGCGCCAACAGACCCCAACGAATGACAGCCATTTTCACGGTTTACATGTACATGTACCTCCGTGTAGCGTCTGCTGCACGTTAGATGAATGTCGGGAGTACTCTCCTCGCGCTTCCCTAATCCTCTCTACCAACACTCATGGCCTTTGGTAAAAAATGGTTTAAATGACATCATGTTAGATAAATGAAATATTTATCTGGGTACCTTTGATGTAATGTTTATACACGGTGGGGTCTTATCAGTTATCAAAGTCCTAAATCTCAGGTGCGTCAACGCGTTCCTTTTTATCTGCCTTTTCCGCTTGCCTTCAGTGAGGCTCTGGTGTCGGCCTTGCCAATTTCTCAAGTACACAAAATTTGCTTTTTCGTGAAACCTTGACAAGTTCTCTTCTCCGTTATTTCTAATATTTCCTCATTATTTCGGTTGATATTTTGCCATCCGTCCAACTCACAATTAAAAGTGAAAGTTTTTTCGCACGCCTGCGCGATTGCTGGCGAATCAAGGATTTTAACGAAGGCAAGGATATTTATACTGATGTAGAGTAGTAACACATACTGTATATGGGCACATGACTCGAAAAGTGATTATTTTCGTTTCGTTCCACTCCTTACTTTAGTGAGGGTAGGGTAGGAGAAGAAAGAAGATAAGAGGGAGTAGATGGTACCAGTACATTTTGTTTTTTACCCTGGATCTTCCCCAACAACATAGTCGTAGCTATATATCAGCTAGATATTGACGGACTTAAAAACTAGGTACATACACGTATAATTATAACAGCGTGTGTGGTTTGTACTAGAATACTTATCCTGCCTAGCAACTAATGGCGGTATACCTAATAACGTTGGCCCAGGCCTAAAGCAGAAGTCATTTGTTTAAACACTTCCTTTTTGCAGGTAAAAGGGTGATAGAAAATATTTTCCAGTACATTAAAATATAAATCAAATTGGTGGATTAGACATTTGTAAGAGGGGCGGACAGTAATGAACAGGGTTCATGAAAAATTACTTTTCAATTATTATTGACGACCTGATCCACAGTTTAACATGCCGTGCTATTTTTGAAAGGTAATAAATGTGGTATTTGTTGAAGTTTCATCTAAATATAGTGATTTCCTGTAGAGCATATTAATCACTACAAAATGTTTCTTTTTACGTTGTACGACTCAAATTAACTATATATGCCAAACGATAAACCAAATGCATCACTCAGTCAACTGACAAAAATCCTTAAAACTGTATCTTCTTCAAATTTCATGTCGCAAAATGGATCTGTTTATCAGTCCCTCTAGTCTGTAAAAGTAAAAGTCGGCCAAGTGACGCAGAAATGTATCTAGCCATTTGCTGTATATGCGCGCTCAAAACAGAAGTATTCACGTGAGTGTTGGTGGAAACGACTGAAGATTATACGTAGTACATTCAGAAAGCAGAAAATATCTGTTAACACGTCATTTTTGGAAAACATAAAACGATACTGTAGGATTATTCTCATGTAGAGTCTCATGTAGCTTACTTTTCTTCTGTTTCAGATGTAACGATCTTTGTCAAGTTGTGCAAAAACCATCTGAACGGCAAATAATGTAGTGAATTCGAACTTATTTTTATACCATTTGGTATTTCTTTAGGTTTTGCTATATATTGAAACTATATGTTGGTATTTTGGTAGATTTTGTGGCAATGATTTGATATGTCAGCTCCCATCAATTGCATCTTTACGTTGTACGTGAAAAAAGTCTCCAGCGTTCATTTTTTTTTTTTTTTTTTTTTTTTTTTAATGAACCCTTGCATGATCAAATCACTTTTGATATCAATCATTAAACTCCACTTTTATGTGCTGCATTACCTAATGTGAGAAGTTTTCAGTAAGTAACCGCAAATGCATGCTGATGACAGAGGTAAATTTCCAGTAATTTATGAAATTCAGGGTAGCACATAGCGTGAATAGCAGAAAATGAGGTTTTCTTAGTCGCGGTGTTTATGTTATCCCAGTATGCTTTTCTTTTTAATTATACTGTATCGCATTGGATAGCATGAATAAATTGCATTCCGTATTTTTGCACAATAAAAGCCAATGACAAGGATAACCTGTCACGCGTGTTACTGCCTACACACAACCCTTGTTAACCTAAGCGAAAATGAATTGCCTTACTGCTTAATTTTGTGTTTATAATGCTTTTTATTGCTTAATAACTGTTTTGTTGTCTGGAGTTCAGAATACGCTACGTACAACAGGGAGCGACCGGTACCCTTTAAAATCATGGGCGTTTACTAATGTTTCACAGTTCCCAATGTTCAAACAATTTCTTCTCGTTTAGTGGAAGTAAAGATATTTTACCTTCGTTTCAGACAGGAAAATGTTGTTATTGTAAAATATAAAATAAAAAAATGTAAGGTTGTACTCTTGTGTAAAATATATCATTAGACCATAATAAAAGACATGATATATATTGTATGCTTAAAGAGCGGGAAGTACAGCAATAGTCATACCCACGTTGAAATATCATAAATCGATAAATATATATTTATTTTCAAAAGAAAAAATATGTTAAAATGCTTGCTAAAAAGGTACAAAACTAAAATTTGGTAATTTTTGTAGATTTGGTATCTTTAGCACGCCAAGCATACAATAAGCTGATACATGTATACTATATATACGCAATAGATTGCATATACAGATATGAAAGAGAGAAAGATATACTCGAGCCGTAAGCTTTACAACACGGCTGATTAAATCGTCAGCCTAAATATACTGTAGTATTTACAACTAGGCACCAAACCGCCAATGTTGCCTTACGACATGGCTCTTAGTTACTGTTCCTCGCTACTACTCCTAAGTCGAGTATAGTCGTTTTGTTGAGCTGCGTGGTGAGTTGAGATACTTTCATATTCACCAATAGGTGTCGTTGCCTCTTCTCTCAAACTTAACTGAGTGTACGCTTTCTGCTCAGGGCCATCTCGCACCATACCTTCATACGCGCGGTGAGAGTTCGAGGCATTTGTGGTATGTTCAGTCCTTGGTCCCGTATGTAATCTCTCATCGTGATTTGTCTCCGTGCTCTGGTACGAAGCTGGCAGAGCTTCAGTGTAATCGTAGGCATAATTATGGTAGTCCTGGGCGTCAGTTACAGCTGGCGCCGTGGCGTGCCCCTCTACCTTTTTCTCGCTGTTCCTACATCGACATACCGCGTAAACCAAGATGGCGGCGAGGATGACGGCCACAATGACGGCAAATGTCACGCCGATGATGAGTGAGATGTCAACTTGCGTATTTGTAACCACTGTAGGTTGCTCCGTGTCTTGACCTGACGAATATAGTTAAACAATAAACTGAAAATATTCAGTGATGTAAAAAAAAATATAGATCGCAAATTCTCAACGGGTTTGGATAACGGGTCAATTGTTAAAATTTCCTTCACATTGCAATGCAAAGGCTAATTGCATTGGACACGTCCAGCTAATTGTTTTTAGAAAAACGCCCAATAAACAACCCGGTTTCATAATACGTACAATCAAAACGACTGAATGACCCTGGTGGCGACGTTTTGTCCCCTTCACACTTGATACACACGGACTGCGCCCGACGCTCCTGGTACGTATTTTCTGGACATGAATCGCAGGTTTTCAGGAGAGAGTTGTATTTTGTGCCAGGTGGACACTTAACTGAAAAAAAAATTTAAAAAATCAATAGAGAAATAGTTGTATATTATAAAACTGGGGCGGAACTTGATTACCGGTAGTTACTACCAGGTAGTAAGCTGTGCAAGTTAAGGTATCTGTATGTCTTCCTCTTACCGCAATATTTGTCCAGAACCTTCATCTGCCCTTCACCACAAGTTGTCTCTTCCTCGCCAGGCGATCCCGTTTCAAAGGTGTAATTTATTCCACCATATTCAAACCGAAACTGACTGCTGACGATGAAGTTTGTCACATTCTCTGCCAGAGCTAAAACATTTTGATACTCATCCGTGCTGTTTTCCTCGCTATGAAAATAAGAAATCAATTACATTCATTTCTAATTAATATTTTACACGTTGATCATTGCTAACTTTCACTAGGGGAATAACCATGTAGGCCTACATGTATATCTAGTGACGTGTGCTAGGGGTTTCAGTCATGAATCCAAAGGCAAAATAGGCAACTACACATACCTACAAATCGCACAGGCAGAAATGATGACGAAGAATAGCCGCTCTGACTAGACTTGGTTAAAATGCTACATTAGAGCTCTAATGGGAATTTGTGCCTGTGTGTGTGTGTGTGTGTGTGCGAGAGAGAGAGAGAGAGAGAGAGAGAGAGAAAGAGAGAACTTACGTAAAAGTCGCATTAAGAGCCAAATTCACAATAAGTTTCCCCTCGTGGGAGTCCCTGCGTCTTCTATCCTCCTCCCTACAGATGACCTCCACCTGTGACCTTTGGCATAACTTAATTAAATCTCCTTCGGGACATAAATCAGCGTCTCTCAGCCACTTAATCAGCTCACCCACGACAAATGGCTTGAAGTAGTTATCATCCACACAGGTTCCCGGATGTTCCACGTTAAACAGGAGTCTATAACTCTTTGGTGGCTCTAGAGCTGTAACATATATAGACTTCTATTGGTTATGTTCGTAATGCTTAAAAGCACTCAAAGGTAATGGTAAATATGGAACAGAAAAATGCCTTGCTAGTAACATCCATGCTACTTTTAAGGGTATTCATAAATAGGGCAGCAACTTAAAGCAATTAAGTCCCGTGTTTTGTCAAAATAATCCATGTTCTTTGACCTACTAAGTAGAAATCTAAAGTTAAACCATTCACAAACGATATTCTTTTAGAGATTTATCAGATAAGCATGATAACACGCGCTTAATCAGGTGCGAGAAAACTTGGCCTACCTGTACTAACACATGTATTGGCACATGCTTCATTCGCCAAATGGAACTACAGTATAGATGGCAGCACAGTGAAAAAAACACAGACACTCACCAATACAAGCCAGTGTCTTAACAGCGCCCCATTCAAACAGCGGCTCCCACTTTCCCTCCGGATTACACATGTAACTCTGTGGTACATCCGGGTTCTGTCTGATGTTGCTAGGGACTGAAAGGCACGTGACGTCACAGCGTTCACTGCCGACAGCTGGCTGCCTACAGCGTAAAGTACCACGGTCCGGAACGGGAATTTTATTTCGGCATTCTTAAACGATAAAGAAATTGAGATTAAAGACTGCACTTACTTCGAACATAATGTCGGGATTGGAACTTTTTTTTTTTGCGTTTTTCCTCCCAAAAAGGATAAATTATATTAAATCAAGTTGCCCAAACAGCAAAAATACATATCAGTACTGCGAAAAATAGAGTAACTATTACAATTTTTCAATTCACAAAAGCCAGAGTTCATGCCAAAGCAAATTTTAAAGCATTGAAATTACAGCAAGTAAGTCATGTCTTTTTAGGAACCCAGAGAATAGCCAGTCATACCCAACATTTTGTCAAGACAACAATCATTAACTAGTATAGTACGCTGCCAATGACTACTCAGTACAAACACTATGTCTAATAGATATTTTGCATACCTTTCACTATACTTTTCACGTCTACGGTAAATTTGCAGGTAGCTTTGTTTCCTGCATTGTCTTCAGCGGTGTACGTGACAACAGTTGATCCAACGGGAAAAACATGCCCTGTAAAATAATCAGCATATGTTTATACCGTTAGAGATTATGAGGAAGTCGGTACAAAAAATTAATCACTCACATTTCTGAATATTTCCCTTTGGTTACCTCTCTTGCCATTTCAAACTGATCGTAATATTAAAAAAAAAAAACCTTGCTGTCTTTTAGGCTTGGACAAACAAAATACCTGGGTGATAATTTCTTTTTATCGTGATGTTCCCTGTGTAACAAAAATAGTTCATACATCAAATTTCTGGGGCCGGTTTCACAAAGCAGTAGTTAGTTAGCGATCGGTAGTTAGCCTCTCGCTAGTTATAGTGCCGTTTCACGAAGCAGTCGCTAGTTCTCTCGCTCGTTATTGTCTCGTTGTTGCCTTGGATATTTAACGACTGGTCAGACCAGTCGCTAACTCTAGAGTTTCATCGTACGCATGCGTAATGAGTGAAATAAAAAGGTTGCTTAGTTACCGTTGTCTGTCGTTGTCTCTGTATCCAATATGGCGGCTACTTTTCTTGCTATCCGTACCGCCAGACGGCAACGTAGACTACGACGTTTTCATGAAAGGCAGAATCTATTAGAATATACACACGATGATGCAATTTAGAGGTTGCGCCTAGCTGTGACAAAAAGAGCGGCAGAAAGGTGGTGGAGATCCTTTACGACGACCTCAAAGCAGACGTTCTTATGCATTTCCAGCCACCAAAAATTGGAGAGTTAGTGCTTTCGTGACACTTTTACGCAAGAGTCCCACTTCCGGTAGACGGTTTCGAGACTACGGTGAGTAACGAGAGAACTAACGACCGAACTTTACGACTGAACTTAGCGATGAGTTAACGACTGCTTCGTGAAACACCCCTCGAAAATCGCTAAGTTTGCTCGTTAGCGAGGTAGTTCAGTAGTTAGAACAACTAACTACTGAACTACTTCGCTATCGCTAAGTTCAGTCGTAAAGTTCGGTCGTTAGTTGTTCTAAATAACTAGGCCTACTGCTTTGTGAAACCGGCCCCTGAATACTTCCGTTTCAAACGGTTCGCAATATTTTTAACGTGTAATGCAGCATTGTTTCTTAAACCAAAGTTGTCTGTTGTGAGAAATCGAAAAGGTTTGGGCAAACAAAGTACCTGGGTAATAGTTTCCTTTTATCGTGATGTTCCCAGGGTAACCTATCACTTCCGGTGTAGGCCACGTGACCCGTGACGAGTTGGACGGTGTGTGGCGCTGCAGGTCGTCTGGACAATTGGTGAAGGTTAATCGTCTGGTGCCTGAAGTAGAAACGAGAGTGGTTGACAAAACATGAATATTAGGAGTCTGTGTATTAATGTCTCCAGATGTGTTTATATTCCACACGGTTTAACATTGTCAAACCAGGAAAATATCCTTAATTTGTATAATATTTTAGTGGCAGTAACTTCAAAGATGTAGTCAACTTCGATGTCATTCTGTCACGTTATTATCATAATATCTACTCAATTCTGATTAACTGTATTCACATTTTCCGTGTCGTCTTGTCAATTATAATAAACGATCATTAATACCAACACTAGCTATCGCACGTTATGGACCAAACACTATAATTCCTTCTCAAAACCTTACCTGGGACTGGCAAAGGACTTCTTGCTAAAAACAAAAAATAAATAAAATAGTTTGATAATCTAAGAGACATCACGTGTGCACTTCCACACTTGTAACGTGTTGTAAATAATACCAAATTAAATGCACATATCGGTATAATACCAAGCGTTTCTTCAATGTATGTATGGGAATAAACACTTGTCGACGATTCTTTTTTTAACACGTCGTATTAATTCCCCTCAGTCCGTTTTTATTCACTAGAAAGATGTAAACATCAAGATTTACACCGCCTCATTAAGTAGAAATGGCATCAAACATGAGTAACGGAAAATTATTAGTAACATTTATGACCAAAAGAAAGGAGCAGTCTAAAGATCTTTTATGGCAGAGTGAGTGATTTATTCAGTTTATTCCATGTCCAATTTATTTGAGTCGTATAAGAAACTAATAGAAGTGGTTTATATACAGCATTGGTCAAAAAGGTTGTCCCACCCCCATTTCCATGTACTTTTATTTACAAATGATAACCTTACAGCCGTAAATTGTTAGAAATGGTCCTTTTTATTACCGATACAGTGTCTAACGTGATTAATGGTTTAAAAAATACAAAATAGTGGTAAATATATACATATTTTATACCATTTAATAAAATTTATAAGAGGTACCCCCTCAAATCGACTGTTTCACTGTGACTTCTACAGATGTAAAGAAATGTCTATAAAATTGAAAAGACGCCATCAAATGTCACCAAATTCACACACAATTAGCATTAGGGTGTGCTTGTTAAAGGTCACGTGCCTAACAGCGTGTGCGTCTACTGCGTACTGCAATTATCTCCTGTAGATGGCGCGACAAGACTTCAACATGGGTAACAATTCTGTTTTGTGGGAAATTGTCGCATTATTCTTAAGCAAGTTGGGGGGGTTGATCCGCGTTTTTATGGGGTTGGTTCTCCTTTGCATTGCACACTCCAATTCATGTCACAGTTGATTAGTAAGTTTAATATCAGGGCTCAAAGATGGTGGTTCCATCCTTAGACCATTGTTTTTCTTTAACAAACACTTGCCTGGCGAGAGGTGTGAGCAAGTGTGCAGTCATGACAAAGCCTGAAGTTAACTCCAAAGTCAGTTCTTGAAGATGGAATGAGGTATCAGCTGAGAATGCTACGTTCAGTGATACCACAGGCACCTGAACCTGGCCATCCATCACTGGAAGGAAGTCGATTTTGATGCAGCATCAAATTATTTCTTGTATCCCATCGATGGTCAAAGAGGGTCCATAGACATGTTAAAAAATGCCTCTCGGAAGGGTGTGTGTAGGGTAATATCGCCTGAGGTGTTAGATCAATCCGCATTTGGAGAACATTCCAAGCCCATGATATTAGTACATTGTTCCTTTTGGAACAAAACGTAACAGGGGCATTTTAATGTAACATTCTCAACAGAAATCTCACTCCATTTGCAAGAGGTGACTTAAGGGATGCTACTGGCTTCGTTGTGACAACGCACTTGCTCACATCTCTCGTCTGGGAAACGATTTGTTGCAGTAACACAGGGCTCTAAGGATGGGACAACCGTCTTTGAGTCCTGATATTAATCCTACTGAGCACCTGTGGCATAAATTGGAATGTGCATTGCAGAGGAGAACCAATTCCTAAATAATCTTGACCAATTCCGCCACGCTCTTTAGGATGAATGGGACAATATCCCACAAAACAGAATTGTTACCCATGTTGAAGTCTTGTCACGCCATCTACAGGAGATAATTGCAGTACGCAGTAGACGCACACGCTGTTAGGCACGTGACCTTTAACAAGCACACCCTAATGCTAATTGTGTGTGAATTTGGTGACATTTGATGGCGTCTTTTCAATTTTATAGACATTTCTTTACATCTGTAGAAGTCACAGTGAAACAGTCGATTTGAGGGGGTACCTCTTATAAATTTTACTAAATGGTATAAAATATGTATATATTTACCACTATTTTGTATTTTTAAACCATTAATCACGTTAGACACTGTATCGGTAATAAAAAGAACCATTTCTAACAATTTACGGCTGTAAGGTTATCATTTGTAAATAAAAGTACATGGAAATTGGGTTGGGACAACCTTTTTGACCAATGCTGTATGTAACTGAGAATCCACAGTCCACCTATGCTCGGTTTATACCGGGGTATGTACCTTTAAGCAACAATTGTAAAATTTTGTTAGGCCCTGTTTTTTTTTTTTTTTTTTTTTTTTTTTTTTTTTTTTTTTTTTTTTTTTTTTTTTTTTTTTTTTTTTCTAAACATGTGCTAGAACCAAAAAGTATTATATAATTAATATAAAATATAAACGAACTTTGTCAAAATACCCATTTTGATCGCCAGACATAACTATCCAGATATGTTTAGGTTTTGAAATACATGTGAAATTAAGATTTTCGTCAACAAACCTGCTGTCCAAGTTTCCACCCGTAGACGAAGACTAGAGGGAATAAAACCGAAACTCTCCAAAACACCTCGCAGCTCTGTATCCAAAACACTCAGAACGCCATCTATGTTATTGTCAGGCAAGGCGACCCTTCGTTTATTCCGTGGGCCTGTTTGAACATATGCTCGAAAATCTATGAGAAGTCCACCAGTACTTGCGTACCTTTTCAAACAGAAAACGGAAAGGAAACAATTTCGCGCCACTTTCATTATACTAACCAGATACAATTATTATTACAGGTATTATTATTGTTGTTGTTGCTGTTGTTGCTGTTGTTATTATAATATTTATGATTAAAATTTGCCAATAACCTTTAGTAAGCAGTGCATATCTTGATGTTACCTCACATCTTTTAGAACCGTTTCTACAAAAAACTCTCTGGAAACTGCATTGCCTATTCCTCTCACGGCGTTGGAGATCTGAGCAAAGGAAGTTTGTCGAACACTCGGCTGATGTTCCACTCCTCCGGCATACAGGGATGGTTCTGTGTAATCCTTCGGGGATGACGTGAGATAACTTGATTTCATGGTACCGGTAAACGTTTGTATATCTGAATTATGAAATCAAAATGGATAGGCTATGATTAAGTTGGTAGAGTTACGTGGAAGGTAAAATTGTTTCCGTGCGTTTTTGTTGCATTCTTTTGTTCTTTATTCCTTTCATTATCATTATTCTTTATTACCTCTCTCTCTCTCTCTCTCTCTCTCTCTCTCTCATACATGCATATATGGCAAAGCATCAGATATGACAACAGATCAGGTGAACAAGCCAGCCATGTCACTAGTGGAAGATCCCAGGTTGAGATCGCAATGCCGGTCAGTTACCAAGTTACAGTATCAGAGTAATGCATACTGTAGTTCTGATTCTAACTCTTCTGGCTATCTCAAAACAAATAAACCACGGCTTATATATATTCCGCGTACATCGTGTGTAACCAAGTTCGTGTTTTTCACCCGACAGCTCATAGCCTATCATGGTTACATAAAAGAAACATTTTACTTTGTGTTTCTCCAGAATACGTTTTAAAAAACCTTGACACAGATCACAAATGTTACTAACCAGAATACTTCAGCAGGTATCTTTGTGAGCTATACCGTCTGTATGGCTTCTTTCCCCAAACCTCTATAGAGTAGTACCCTTGCCTTTCGCCTCTAGATTGCGTTGGCGGTACCCGTAAGGGGTAGATCACTGTCGAACTCGCCGGAACCAGAGTACGATGCAGGTTTTGTAACCCGTCTTTCACAAACGTCACGAATGTGTTTGAGTCGTAGTTTGAAACTGAGAATGTAAGGGTTTCCGTCCTCTCATCAACGACCGGTGCTGAGATTTCCACAACTGATTCTGAAAATTCAGTATGTCCCAAATGTGCCAACATGTAGTCATGCTTTATACAAAACACTCATTAATTAAGCGTATAACAGTATCCGTCAAAATGTTATAAATGTTATAAAATATATTAATCATTGAGCTCTGAAGTCCTTCATCGATTTGTAAACAATGGTCACTATACAAGGAATATATGTATGGACTCTTCTACAATATATCTGTTGTACTTCACATAATTTATAATACATTCAAAATGTACTTCGTGCGTACCGGAAACGGCCACATCTAATTCACATATATACGGCAAAGGCTCGTCGCAGTTTGTAGATGCGTACAGAATCCGACCAGTAACCCAATTCTGGTCGAAAGCCAAGCACGTTTCTTCTAGCATGAGAGTATTCAGGACAGGATTGGCGCCAGATCCCTCTCCAGTGAATCCAGATTGATCGGGCAGGGTGGACCCTCCAATCAGAGACCGTAATTGATCCATATGGACGACACGTCCGTCTGCTAATTTGCATAATGATGTCTCCACACGACATGTAACACCCACCCTGGCGTATTCCACTGGAACATAACAATGTTTGCCACGAGAAAATGAAAAAAAAACGATTGATAAGCTGTCCCTTCAATAAAATATTTTACTCACTTCCTGCGCTTTCTTTCATAAAGCAACTATCTGATAAGTACTGGCTTTTTACAAAAAAATCATTATTATTACTATTATTATTTATCATTATTATTATTATTATAAAAAGAAAACAATATATAAAATAAAGATCCAAACTGGTTTCAAAAATGAAAATGAATTAAAAAAGGAACGACAAAAACAACTTATCCTGGTTAACTTTTCCTGGACCGCAATCTTCGTATAACCCACTCAAGTCCTCACCTTCCATAAAAACAAATCCACGGATAGCAAATGATCTGCTAAAGGACGAGGTTGGAGAAAACAACCTGCCTCCCTCCGAAGAACAGTAAGACTCGGCACTCTCGTAAGATTCCGGCCGTTTCACAAATATCAAACATTTTTCAAGTTCAGGTGATCCTCGCCAACCATCCGGGCATTTCAAAACTAAAAGAGATTACGACGCAAAGAGTGGCTTAAGAAAGTTGTGCTTTGAGCAATATTACTGTTAAATAGATATCAACATAACTTACGCCTTCTACATGTAGTTAAAATATGTACGCCTGTTGACGATTCACTTAAATGTCAACAAAACGAAACGTATGGATGTCATTGTTTAAGGTTACACCCCAAATAATCAAGACAACATCACTCAGTCAGTCAAAAGCAAAGACTTCCTAGAGCGTGGCTCATCTGATTACGGTACGATTAAATCTATATTTGTGGCCATCCACAAGGATAATTAAGATTGCCTCTCCTTGCTCAGCAAATAGAAAGTAATTAGTTTTATCTCAAGATCGGAGCGAGGGGGTAAAAGTGTAGCTGGAATACCAGCGAGGGCAGCTTGAACCACTCCCCCCCTCCCACTTCCACCCCACCCCATCCCACCTCACCCCCGGATCTGCCATATATAATGCTCACCTGTGCTCAGTTCCGGTCTGATGGGGGTGTGGGTACAAACAGAGGGCAGTCTGCTGTCACATGGCTCGGTGGTGAGGTTTACGCGACCGTAATTAAAATTATCTCTCGCAGCAACGCAGTTACCATGGAGCGGGAGAGGCTGATTGTCCGACCACTGCCAAACGCCCCGTTCACTTTTCAAATTATAGAAAAAAATGCGTCACTACGGAAACGTTATTTTACTTATCAATTTAAGAAAATGAAATATGTGTACAAACAAGTAAGCCATGCTAAATGTGAATGACAAACGTCAAAATGCCAAAATTAGATTTATAATTAGTCATTTTTTGAACATGCTGCCAAATAAAATTATATGAATCGCCCAAAAACGTAACATCACGGATCGTCTCCGCTCTAGCCAAAAATGATGTCAAGTTTTAGACCAAGAAAATTGGTTTACTGACGTTTACTATGAGCCCATTATGCTCTAAAATAAAATTAGTAAATAATGTATGTAATGGCCTGAAACGTTGACAGCGTTAGCCATACCTTTGTTGTTATAGAATAGAAGCAATGGCCCTCTTATTTTAATTACTACTACTACCTGTACAACTGATTTATCCTCTGTCAAATTAGCCTAAATGTTGATCGAAAAACTTAAGATCAAATTCGGGCCAAAGTCAAGGCTCCGTGGTTTTTACCTGTAGTTAACAGGGTGGGGAAATGCACCTTCCCAGATCAGGTTTTGGCTGTCTTGGCTCAACAACATGCTTGTCCAATATCGTGAAACCATATCTGAAAATGACAAACCAAATGAAATAATTATTTACTTTGACGTCTGCAGCCGATGTAAAGCCACTTGTTTTCGTAGATATATAAATAGCCAGGTTTAAATTAATAAACTCTGAATGAAACATTTAAAATTAAGAGCCCATAACAATACGATGAACAAAAGTATGACATCCCATAACCCTTTATGATATAGAAACAACACGCCACCAAGAAATAAGCGTGAACGAAAGGGTCGTAGCAGTAGCAAACTGTATTTTCAAAACGTTTATCCAGAGTTTACCAAAATTAACCAGCTTATTTGCAATTTAATTACATTTCAATCATCATCATCATTTACGATGCTCCTTTTTTCATTTTTTCAAAACAAATAAAAAGTCACATGTGGAATGATTAGTCAAAAGATGGGTATCAAATTTTAGATATGAATTTGTTTTAAATAGTATTTTGCACTAGATTCGTTTGGAAAATGTACTTTGAAAAAGTCATATTCCTATGTCTACATATCCTTTAAAACTGCTTATCTCCCCGAATCAGACCTTTAAGTCCCTAAATTTAAAAAATATCTGATGAAGATGTTTCTTACCATAATGTCCGTACCACAGTCGTGAAGGTCTTAATGAATTATGATTCGTTTTGAACACATTATGGGAGTAGAAATAATGCAATTAAATAGGCACTGGTTGACGAATGATTTCTAGGAGCTTCACTTTTAGAACACTCTTAGTAGGTACTATCGCGACCTCTCGAATATGTTTTAAATACCTGTATATGAATTTACATTAAGGCAACTTACTAGCAGCAGAAGAAAGTGTGTAAGAGTAATATGGAACATGTGACCACGCAATGTAGGACAATGCTAACATATTGCTGGAGTGGGAGCGGCAGCCTTCCACTGCCTCGGTCCATGACATGGGGTTGGCTTGAATCATGACGCAAACGGAACCAGAAGATACAGCTGCGCCAGACTGCCTCTTTCGCCTAGCGGCTAATGCAGGTACCACGTTGATAAAACCATCGCGACACGCAGAACCTGATTGAATTAACATGAAATTGTAAAGTAATGCATGTAATAAACCAATATTGCTATTATATTTCACGATAGGATAAAGTCTGAGGGCAAACGAAGTGCGTTATTAAACACTTTACACATATGAAGAAGAATTTGTGATATGATTTCGTTTTTTTTCTTTTTTGTTTTTTTTTGTTTTTTTTTTTTTTTTTGTTTTTTGTTTTTTTCCTCAATTTGGAGTATGCTGTGACCCTGGGAACCTAAAGAAACATTAGAATTGATACACAGTTTCCACTTACCGCTATAAAGCTCACATCTACTATCCCGTAGGTTCCAGAAGTGACCTTCGTCACAAAGGCACGTGTCATTTCGGCCGTCAAGATCCGTGTCCTGACAAGATACCGAATAGGACATTTTATAAAAACCTTCACGCCGCAGGCACTGCTCAGTGGATGTGCAACTGGAACCGATGGCTGAAATACGAAAGAAAAGGGCGCATAGCGATCATTGTTGGTAAGGTTAGGGTTGGTAAAGACTACCCAGGGTACGGGGGGACCTGTAGGTACTTCTTAAACGGTACCTTATATCACCTCGCTTGGCACTCAGCACTTAGTGGTTGAAGCAGCGGTAGAGTATCAGCTGGTCTGACACTAAAAAGGATAACAAGTGTTCATTTTGGACCAAAAATGAATTTTCCTGGGGTAAACGGCAATTTTCCCACACTTACCAAAGATCAACGAATCCATTTCTAGATTCAAATTTAGTCCCTGTTTTTTAAGCGTTTTTTCATTTATTTATCAATGGAGGTCACGTGATCCAGTGACAAGCACATATTTTAGAATAATTGTTATAACTGTCAATTTTTGTGGTAAAATAGAATATTACATCTCTATGAGGTGTTTATAAGGTGATTATTTAGAAAAATAAATGTTATACGAAGAGTTGTTATCCCTTTAAGTACATTGTCATTGCTACTTTGCAGCGCCTCGATCAGCAACTGTTGAGAACGTCTATTTCCAGTTTCACTCAGGGTCAGCAATATGCGTGGCATACTGTGATTATATATATATATATATATATATATATATATATATATATATATACGGTACATGGAAATCAGACTACTGCACCCACATTATATCAAACTATTGTATGTTGTTCGGGATAACATACGGATAATACCGTGTACTTTTTATTCTTCCCCGCACTGTACATGTATACATACCCAGTTCACACAATCTCACAGTGGTGTTGTAGAAGTGGCCGAAATCACATCGACAGAAATAGCCACTTTGTTCACTCACGTAGCTACATCTCATCTTACTGTCACCGACTCCTGAACATATGTTCCGGTTAAAGGTACAGGAACTATTGTAGGCTGAAAATAGGCATTAAATACTAGGCCTAAAATGAGCATTTGCACATAAAAAATTATTTGCTGGAAAATTAAAAAGCTTAAAGAATATTATTCAGTCAATCATTTGTATTTTAGACAGTTGGATAATAACTGGTACTTATCCACTTATAGAAAAGAACTGGTACTATACATGCATTGTACTAGTATAATATTAACCATTTTCTTTTCTTTAAGTTCTAGCGCAAGATTTCACTTCAGTGATTCCGTCCCATCACTGATTTATATTTGATCTAAATAGACTAAAGCCGTTTTTAAATAAAAGGCCTACACTGAACTTTTATAGAGTAAAAACCAATTTTATGGAAATACGGAGATATTTAGGATATTCGCTTTAAATTCATTTACTTAAATCCCTAAGGTGCACAATAATATTTTTAAGTTACAATACATAATTATAATAATATAATGATATTATATTACAAACCGTACACGGGATTAAAAAACCTTTTTGGGGGGTCGAAGATTCATGTTTTTCAACGACTACCCATGGTTTTTAGATTGAAACTAGAAAATTTCACTCGTGCCGTTTAAAATTTAGTAAATTAGATAACATGGACAGAAACGTTTTAGTTTAATGATCGTACTTTTTCCAACCATTTTAGCTAATGTTCACCATCACTATAAAGAAGTAATTTATGCCGCTGTACATGTAGAAAGGTGTAGCGAGCATTGTATGTCAGTAAGACACCATTTAAGTTGCAACTGCATGGCCCCAGTCCAGGATTATTTGAAGGGGGGTTCCGGAATGACAGGCCTCGGATGGAAAGCCGACCATCGCCCCCTTGGCGTGGGGTTTGGGTCCTGCTCAAGGACCCCAAAAAAATTTGGTGTTTTGGAGGACAAACGGTGTCCTTTGCCTCGGTTTAGAACTATGATTCAGCTAGTCAAAATTCTAATTTCAAGAGGTGAATATTGGTGTGGTATATATTTCAGAAATCGCCGCTGATACTCACCCCGCTGACACTGTTGTGTGGTTTGGTTGTGGAAGAACCCAGTCTGGCAGACACAAGTCCCATTCACACACACTGTATTGCTCCCATACGGACAACTGGACTGACAAGGACTGTTAATCACTGAGCCTGAAGTGGAAGGAATCTCATACGAGTTCATCAAAGTCTCCATATCACAGAGACTAGTTAAAATTTTAGTTGTTGGCTTTGTCTATTTTCTCATTTATACACTTATACTGGATTCACATACCTAGATCGGTCTAACATGATCGATCCATCTCCAAGGGGATTGTCGCTAAATTGCATTCAGCTTAACCGGCTTAGATGTCTGGCACGGCAACTAAAGCTGCTAAAAGATAATTTTAATTAAAATTACCCCCTAGCAGCTTCAGTAGGCGTGACAGACATATAAGCCGCTTTAGTTGATTGCAATTTAGCGAGAATCTCCTCGGAGATAGATCGATCCACAGTTAGAAAGATAGGGTTTTGGAATGGTCCCAAAAATTTAATTCAGCGGAATGGACTATTTTCTGTGACGCACGTATATGTTTTACCTACTCACCTGCTCGACATCGACCCCGTAGGAAATTGTGACCAGGAGCGCATTTACAGCTGCCGGGCGTGTTGTCCAACAGGAGACCCGTACAAACGAGGGAGGAATCCCCGCAGCCAAGTTCACTGTAACACTCCTGGTTATAGCCTTTAATGAAAACCACCTTTTTTTAGTAATGTGACCCCCACACGTGATTTCATACAAAGCTGAAGTCTTGTCTCAAAACTCTTTTTTATATTTTATTATTACTATTACTTTTCTTATTTATTATTATTATTATTATTATTATTATTATTATTATTATTCCTGAAGCCTCACATACCATATATACAGCGCTGCATTTCCTGGTTATAGATCAGGCCAAACCCGCAGACACACCTGTTGATATCGTTACAGTAGTAACTGGTAATTTGTGTGAGACAGCTGGTGTTTTTGCTACATTCCGCATTGTAATCTGGAAGAGTAAGAACCAGAGAAAAGATTCTCATTTGCATGTGTGTGGTTTGACTGTGCAGAACGTCTTCCAGTTTGTATGTCTCTCGTGCATTCTCTTTGTCTATGTGTGTGTGTGTGTGCGTGTGTGTGTGTGTGTGTATATGTGTATGTGTGCGAGCAAGCATGTATGTGATTGTGCAATTGCATCTGCCTATTTGTATGACGGTTTGTCTATATGTCTGTCTGTCTACATGGGCGTGCGTGTCTTTGTATAGGTACATATAGGTGTGACTGGTACACTTACACGGAGCACAGAGGTTAGCTCCGTCCAGGTAATAAGGCGGTAACCCGGTGTTACACGTGCACTGCCCTGTGTCTGTGCAGACGGTGTTGTTGTCCCCAGCCATGCAGTCCTGTGTCCGTGTACAAGGTGCGCCGTGTGACCCTACTTGAAAAGAACACAGGTAACGATCACCAATACGTTGAAACATTTCGCAATTTATTATATCTGGATACAACATTGGCAACATGAAGCGTATAGACATAGTTGAGCTTATCAAAGTGTATATTTAAATTTTCCCTGTTATTGTTTTTAATGAAACAAAGAATTTAATGTTAACCCCTCATAAGACACGTACGGTAGTTGGTATAAGCTACGAAGTTTCGTCAGCAACATCACACAAACCCTATCACAATTGTCAATGTTGTCATGCCGCAATTGCTGAACTTGTCTGAACATTTACATCTGCTTGTATACCAAAGTATCAAGTCCATTTTTTTCTTTTTTAAATACTCACTCCTACAGGATGCACAATGTTTTTTCAGTGCTAGGTTCAGACGTACCTAGTGGTGTCTCCGTGCTGACACCAGTACCTAGTGGTGTCTCCGTGCTGACACCAGTAGGATAGGTCGTAGTGTCGTAGATTGTAGAATACCAGGGGAGAGTATCGGTAGAGGGCGTGGTAGTGGTGAAGGTGGTAGATGCCCCACTACTACTGTAAGTTACATTGGTCGTTGTATTCACGCCCACGGTAGTTGATACTTCACCGATGTCAGTGATAGTCTCTGAACTGGTGGTACTAAATTCACCTGTAATTACACCATTAGATTTTACAGTGGTAGGACTAGGACCATATACGTTACAGTAGTGTTACTAGTTTTACCAGCACTGATAGAAGTAGTGTTGCCAATACATGCCGGTTCATCAGTAAGTATTTAGTAAATTCTAAAGTGGATTTCTATAGATTCACCTGGAATATCAGAATTAGAAGTAGTAGTAGCGGGCTCTTCATTGTAACTACAGGGGTCATTTGTACTTGTTGTGTAAGCTAGGTTCTACAGTGGTGTTTATGCAGGGTAGGTCCATCTGTAATGAGCAAGTTCCATAGTAGCATCATCACGTCCATTAGCATTAGTTGCAGTGGGTTCTACAATGGTGTATATGTACCCATCTGTATTTTTTGTAGTACGGTTGGTTCTACGGTGGAAAAAGGTGTTCTGCTCTATTTGAAATGGGTTCTTAAGTGGTGAGTGTATATCCATCTATAACGGTTGTGGTAGGTTTTACCGTGGACAGTGACAGACCCATCATCTTATATGAAATGGAATGAAAATGATCCTCAGAGCAAGTAATCAAAGGAGGTTATGAGATATATATGTGGTATTATAGAACTGGTACAATGAGAATCAAGACTGGAAGCAGGATATGGCCTGAAGACAGTAACGTATATACTTGATATACTGGATGTAGGGATGTGGGGAATTGATTGTGTTGCATATTGGAGGAGAAATACTACATTTTCTACGTCGTATACATACTGGAAGCATATTTTCTTCTACCTGCATGCTCTAGGTTAAAAAGACGCAACATAAACTTGCTTCACTCGATGTTCCGGTTCTCCTAGTTAATTCATTTCAACATAAAATACTGAAATTAGTTACCACAGATGTATATTGTGTAAAACATGCATATATGCCAATTAAACTGTATGTATAAAAATAAATAATATGATACCTACTTATTTCACAGTTTCTCCCAACATACCCAAGCTGGCAGGAGCACGTGTAATTCATAACCGGGTCAATGCTACAACTTCCACTATGCAAACAGGGATTGGGGTCACATCCATCTGCATCTACAATAGAAAATAATCCTTGCCAACAAAGGTAGAGACGTGGACTGACAATGGGCTTTTCTAGCGCAAATTTAAGCATGTGTGTGTGTGTGTGTGAAGGATGGGTGGGTGGGTGTGCGTGTGTGTCCAATATGCAACACAGTCAATGTATAACACATTTCGACCCAGTCATAACATAATATAAAGCCATCCTTGATCGATTTATACAAGCACATGCGCGCACAGTCGCCCAAACAATTCTCTCTTCGTACACAAAGAAGCGCAAGGAATTACATATCTTTAAAACATGGGAAATTCGTTTGTTACCTAGTACACCTTGTGCTAGAACAAGATGCCCGAAGTGCAAGATGCACAGTCCCAGGAGGAATTTCATTAGCGTCGTTTTAATGCACATAGTTACATGTGCCTTGAGTCCTGAAAAATGAATAATTACAATACATTAGTTGTTAGTATAATAATCAATATATATCCTCACAATTTCAATAGCTTCTAACCCTTGTAAAGACCTACAAGTATAAAATCAATGTTAGTGAACTACGTTCTCAAAAAAATAATTCCCTATTAAGAACAACCAGGCTGCACCTTAGCCAAAATTGAAGACAAACTTATGTCATTCCGTTAAACTTTGGGTGGAGATATTCCATAAAAAGGGAGCAAGAAAATGTGTTAATTCTGGATTCTCGCCCTCTATTTTTTAACCAAGCTCATTTTTACACTAGGCACAAGCTACATAACTTGCACCAAGTGGATTTCGCCAAATACTACCCCCGCCCCATATTGAAATCTTAAAAACGTACTGTTAAATAAAATGTATCATCCAATAATTATAATTATATTGTAAATCGTATTAAAATGGGATATGTGGTGTATAAAGAGGAACATGTCTGGGCCCAGCTGTAAACAACCACGTTTCAGATATATAAAAAATAAAAACATGAATTACGCAAAAAAAAATGTCATTCACTTTATTACCTATACGCAGTTCATCTACAACATGTGCATACCGTGTAGAAACCATACGACTGGTAGTATTTAAGTGGGAGTGGGGGTAAGCGAAAGACACGGGAGAGAATTTTTCTAATAACCCCCCCCCCCCACCCCCACCCGGCGTTGACTGGCGTTGCTATAAAATGGGGGCTAACCCCCCTCTCTCCACACACACATACACAAACACACATACACCACTTCCCTGGTGGCTGCGCCTACATCGTATTTATATTGAAGCACATTGAGCGCCTTTTCTTCACAACAGAGACTAGGTCATGTCATCATGAGATCATAAGTCTTCTTTATCGAAAAGTAAAGTATCTTGTTTTTACGAGGTTTTGCCTTTAGCGTGCGCATACATAAGATCAAGGTTAAGATATTTGCATGAAACCGCGCCCCTATACTGTTACGTAAGCTGTCAAATATAACACCCTTCCAGGCGTAACTAATATTACAGAGGCCTTTGAAAATTATGGTAATTTTAACCTGCATATGGAATTATGATAGTAGTAACAAGTAAGTACATGTAGTCACCCTTGGCAATTTGCCACTCGAATGTGTCGCGACCAGACCAGACTAGTCTCTGAGGTCTATGGAATATAAATAAATGCTGCCTCGTGGAAAAAGAAGTTTATTTCAGTATTACGATATGTTACACTGTTTGCTTAACGAGATTTGTTAATAGAAAACCGACCTGGCCTGCCTGACACTATATCAAGCTATCAAATATATTTTNACCCCCCCCCCCCCCCCCCACCCGGCGTTGACTGGCGTTGCTGTAAAAATGGGGGCTAACCCCCCTCTCTCCACACACACATACACAAACACACATACACCACTTTCCTGGTGCCTGCGCCTACATCTTATTTATATTGAAGCACATAGAGCGCCTTTTTTTTCACAACAGAGGCTAGGTCATGTCATCATGAGATCATAAGTCTTCTTTATCGAAAAGTAAAGTATCTTGTTTTTACGAGGTTTTGCTTTTAGCGTGCGCATACATAAGATCAAGGTTATGATGTGTGCATGAAACCGCTCCCCTATACTGTTATATAAGCTGTCAAATATAACACCCTTCCAGGCGTAACTAATCTTACAGAGACCTTTGAAAATTATGGTAATTTTAACCTGTACATGGAATTATGATAGTAGTAACAAGTAAATTGGTCACCCTTGGCGATTTGCCACTCGAATGTGTCGCGACCAGACCAGACTAGTCTCTGAGGTCTATGGAATATAAATAGATGCTGCCTCGTGGAAAAAGAAGTTTATTTCAGTATTACGATATGTTACACTGTTTGCTTAACGGGGTTTGTTGATAGAAAAACAAAATAGAACTATGTTGTTATGGGAAAACCAAGGAGTTATAACAGAAGGTTCTGTTATAACTCCTTGGGAAAACTAAGACAAGCGGGTTCTTCCGGGAAGGTGGTGACCATAACGTCTACTTGGTTTCATACTTTGCTTTTATCGATTTTATATGAATTAATTTAATACTAAATAAAAATATGACAACAAGATGGCTTTAAACTGAAAATTAAATCTTTTGACATCTCTTCCTATGCATTTTAAGTTAAAACTGTCATCTTTACTTCTTAGTTTCCTTAACTTCCTTTTCTTGTTATACTTTCTGGGACGTTTACTAACATGCATGTGAGTTTAGAGATTTTTTTTTCTTTTTTGCCTTTATTTGAGCACTCCGTATTCTTCGTAATTTGTGATTTTTCCTTTGTAATGTCATGATCCCTGTTAACTTCGTCTTCAATTGTCGTTGTGCTTGACACAATTCCAAATAGAACGTGTTACCTGTATGCATTTCTCGAATTTTTCACAGTGTTTTGTCGCCATTTATACAGTCATTCCATTGAGTATGTTCCAAACGCTGCAAACAATGACCACCTAATAAAACTGTCTTCGTTCTCTCAGCTCTTATGTCAGTTATAACGACGAGACAACTTTACAGTAGATTTCAGCTTTACGAGGGCAAACAAAATGTTAACATAGATATTTAGTTTCAATGCGTTGTGCGGGTCTGACCTGCCTGATACATTGTCAAGGTACAAAATTTACTTTTCATGTTTTTACACCATGTAAGCTCACATAACACGTGGAAGTGCAAAATCCCCCAAATCAAGAAAGATAAATAAATAAAAAGATTAATAAGGTGGGCTCAGTCACGGTCTAAACCTAGGTTGTCTGAAGGAGAATTCACAATTTAACTGTCGTAATAGGTAGTTCGAACTACTCCGGGGGGACTCTCGCTGAATACAATCCGATTGCGGCTGTTTCACAATCAGGGTGAACAATTAAATGTGGTTAATGTTACAAGTGTCTGATAAATTAACAATTTATGATTGGAGATTGCTGATAAACTAATACCAAAGACACTGTTCATAGGAGCAAAAGAATTATGATAATCATAATAATCAGATTACAATTTACAAAAAGATACCTTTTTTTAGCTGTTACGGTGGGTCATTTGCAATTGAGGTCATAAAGATGATGCACTAGTTCTTTATGTCAATGATTGTTTTAGACTATATAAAATGCATTCATGTCTTATGATGTTTAGAAAAAACATTGTATATACATATATATTTGATAAAGTGATACTGATTAATTAGAGTCAGGCAAGAGATTTTGCAAAGAAATAATATCAGTAAAGATGCTACTCTTTGCATTCAAAATGAACAATATTGGTTTGAATATATTGCCAAATATAGCTAATTGCAAAATAATAAACTGTATATGGATTAATATTCTATGGATTACTGCATATGATATATTTTGAGGGGGTACGAACACTTCAATACATGCATAATTAACAGTACATTTATTATACTCTCAGTGGATGAAATATCAAATATGGATGACAATAAACAAAAAGCCAAATAGGAAAAGAAAAAGGGATCCTGGAAATTTTACTGTCATCAAAAAATAATTTGGAAAAAAAAAGACGTCAAAGAGCTAATATCCATAAAGATGCTAATAATTTTGCTGAAGCACATAAGGAAGATGTTGAATGCATGTAACATAACAGAGAAGCAAAACAAAATGAAGAATCATCCTAGGCTGGCCGAGCAAGAAAGACTAGAGTAAAGAGAAGAAATTAGGGCATACTGACAGAGAGAAAAGGAGAAGCAGAAACCCAACAATCCTGAAAACAGTAGAACAAGAGGTGCAAATTAACGAGAGATGAAAAAGAAGAAAAGACTCTAAAGACAGGAATCAAGACTGAAACAAAAAAATGGTCAAGCAACAGAAAGAAAAGTTTTAATTAAAGTCTGATGAATGAAAGTCAAACTGAATGACATACAACCAAGCTTCAGAATCCACTGAAAAACGTGCTGTGGTGTTTCTCTAAAAAACTATTTGATTAACACATGTACTTGTATCCTTTTGGTTAAAGTACTGCTGTTATATTTTTAGTTTGATAATTTTTAGAATTTTGGCAAAAATAATTGGTAAACAATATGACATTTAAGTTACAAAAGCACCAGTTACTTGAATGTGTAGTGTCCGTACCCCCAGATCATAGCCTAAGGGGCGTTCTGTTAATTTGAGCGTAGCACAAAAAGTAATTAATATTGTGTTCTAAAAATTGTGGATATCATAGTTAAGATGTTATTCTGTTTATCTGTTACAAAATTAAGCAAATGCATCAGAGTTCATTTTTCTCTCAATGTGACCCCTATTTTGTACCCCTGATTGTGAAACAGCCGATTGGCAAATTAACACGCCTCCTCCTGCTTCCAACGTGCTGGTATAATCTTCAGCTTCTTGGTGTTATTTTCAACATCAGGAGGAGGCATGTTAATCTTTTAATCTGATTGCATTCAGCAACAGTTCCCGTGGAGTACAATGTAAGTTAAAACAATCTAGTGTACGACAGTCCCCGCCGAGTATAATGTCCTTTCGTTCAAACTACCTAATACGATAGTGCCATTGTGAACGCAGCCTAAGGTCGACCACGACATGACCCATGCCACTGTGACGTAAAGGCGGTACTAGTAATGACTTCATCGGGAATGCATGATAGGAGCAGTCATTGAGTTTTAATGTAATATATACAAATTGAAGGTATTTTGAAGCACGTTTAATGTAAACTAAAGTATTAAAATGAAGGAAAAGTGAGAAGAAACCAGTGAAAAGAAGAAACGAACGCTCGCACAGACAGAGAGAGAGGCGGGGAATTTGAGAGACGCGCAAGCACACACAAACATTGCATGGATTCAATAGACCCCAGCAATATATACATGATGATGAGGAGTGGTAAAAGAGGGCTTTAGTAGCTAACTTGATCCCCCATTCTGTTCATTCCCACAAAAGACTATTCATTTAGCCACAAAGCAGTCTACAGTATGTCCGTCGCTGACGCTGTACCCCAGCTATTGTCATACTGACAAGAGATCAGTATCTTTAGTAAATATTTCACCGCTAGTCAATGTGTCAGTACTTAACTATGGAAACAGGTATTCTACAAGTATGTAGGCCTACCTGTATTTTAGGTTGACGCGTTTAAGTATACGGGGACGAGCATCCCTTAACTTCGAAGCAAACACCCCCAGAACCACCCCTAGTCACCCCACCCCAAGAATGACCACATAAAAACAGGCTAGGTTGCGGTAAGCTATAAGTAGTCTGACTTAAAAGCCTTGATTCAGCACCACTCATTATGATATCTGTAAATAACAGAAAATGTGGATAGCACACGGTGCTACGGGCAAAAATCAGATTTCATGTACAAGTACATGTACCGGTATGTCACTTCTTCAAACATCGTCAGCCTTGCTGTCTTATACTAAAGATGTGTATGATTCAGTTGAACAACAATGATAGTGCCAAATACACTGTTATATGCATGGACCCGCCTAACTTAAAAACCTCTCTAGATTCAAAGACACAATGCAGCATAAACGAGCTACATTTACTAGCAGCTAAGCTAATATTAGTAGATGGTGGAGATATTGTGTCACATACCCCCCCCCCCCCACATTCCTTACCAGTACCGTCCGGGACACCCCCTTCTCTCCTATTTCGATGCCTCTCCAAAACCAGCATAAAAATCGACACGAGAGAGAGCTCACAAATAATTCAGCAATATGACTATTGCAGTTGAATTGGCCTCGTCTATTTATATTTTAACCATGGTGTGTCCGCTTGAGCAAAATCTACGAATGGTCAGACCAAAAAATAATAAAGAACGTAACTTACCGCGTGGATTTCCCAAGACCGACTAAGGCACTTTAACTCGCACCACAGTTCATATGATGAGGGGTTCATCCACGTTAACAATGGCCACCGGTAAAACTTGACACCGAAGAAAGAAAATACTTCACGCACCTGACTGATTTCTGAGTGAATCAGCTCTAAATGTCACAAGGGTCACAAGCGGATGTTTTGCCCTCAGATATATGAATGGGTGGACGGATGCCTATTCACTGGGTTCCCTGCAGTTTGTATCGAATTCTCGGAAGTAAACAATGTGCCGGGTGGTATTAAGCTGTTATTCTGGTCAGCAGGGCGAAGAGAAGTGTTGATAGTGACTCTCGTTTTTGTTTCTTCTGTTTGTTTAAGTGACATCATTTTGGCAGATCTTCACAGAATACAGTGTATGTTCATACGTGCGTCAATAATAAGATCCGGGATTTTGTATGAAAAAAAATGACGGGTATTTATTCCGTTAAAGNATAAAAGATAATTTTAATTAAAATTACCCCCTAGCAGCTTCAGTAGGCGTGACAGACATATAAGCCGCTTTAGTTGATTGCAATTTAGCGAGAATCTCCTCGGAGATAGATCGATCCACAGTTAGAAAGATAGGGTTTTGGAATGGTCCCAAAAATTTAATTCAGCGGAATGGACTATTTTCTGTGACGCACGTATATGTTTTACCTACTCACCTGCTCGACATCGACCCCGTAGGAAATTGTGACCAGGAGCGCATTTACAGCTGCCGGGCGTGTTGTCCAACAGGAGACCCGTACAAACGAGGGAGGAATCCCCGCAGCCAAGTTCACTGTAACACTCCTGGTTATAGCCTTTAATGAAAACCACCTTTTTTAGTAATGTGACCCCCACACGTGATTTCATACAAAGCTGAAGTCTTGTCCCAAAACTCTTTTTTATATTTTATCATTACTATTACTTTTCTTATTTATTATTATTATTATTATTCCTGAAGCCTCACATACCATATATACAGCGCTGCATTTCCTGGTTATAGATCAGGCCAAACCCGCAGACACACCTGTTGATATCGTTACAGTAGTAACTGGTAATTTGTGGGAGACAGCTGGTGTTTTTGCTACATTCCGCATTGTAATCTGGAAGAGTAAGAACCAGAGAAAAGATTCTCATTTGCATGTGTGTGGTTTGACTGTGCAGAACGTCTTCCAGTTTGTATGTCTCTCGTGCATTCTCTTTGTCTATGTGTGTGTGTGTGTGTGCGTGTGTGTGTGTGTGTATATGTATGTGTGCGAGCAAGCATGTATGTGATTGTGCAATTGCATCTGCCTATTTGTATGACGGTTTGTCTATATGTCTGTCTGTCTACATGGGCGTGCGTGTCTTTGTATAGGTACATATAGGTGTGACTGGTGCACTTACACGGAGCACAGAGGTTAGCTCCGTCCAGGTAATAAGGCGGTAACCCGGTGTTACACGTGCACTGCCCTGTGTCTGTGCACACGGTGTTGTTGTCGCCAGCCATGCAGTCCTGTGTCCGTGTACAAGGTGCGCCGTGTGACCCTACTTGAAAAGAACACAGGTAACGATCACCAATACGTTGAAACATTTCGCAATTTATTATATCTGGATACAACATTGGCAACATGAAGCATATAGACATAGTTGAGCTTATCAAAGTGTATATTTAAATTTTCCCTGTTATTGTTTTTAATGAAACAAAGAATTTAATGTTAACCCCTCATAAGACACGTACGGTAGTTGGTATAAGCTACGAAGTTTCGTCAGCAACATCACACAAACCCTATCACAATTGTCAATGTTGTCATGCCGCAATTGCTGAACTTGTCTGAACATTTACATCTGCTTGTATACCAAAGTATCAAGTCCATTTTTTTCTTTTTTAAATACTCACTCTTACAGGATGCACAATGTATTTTCAGTGCTAGGTTCAGACGTACCTAGTGGTGTCTCCGTGCTGACACCAGTACCTAGTGGTGTCTCCGTGCTGACACCAGTAGGATAGGTCGTAGTGTCGTAGATTGTAGAATACCAGGGGAGAGTATCGGTAGAGGGCGTGGTAGTGGTGAAGGTGGTAGATGCCCCACTACTACTGTAAGTTACATTGGTCGTTGTATTCACGCCCACGGTAGTTGATACTTCACCGATGTCAGTGATAGTCTCTGAACTGGTGGTACTAAATTCACCTGTAATTACACCATTAGATTTTACAGTGGTAGGACTAGGACCATATACGTTACAGTAGTGTTACTAGTTTTACCAGCACTGATAGAAGTAGTGTTGCCAATACATGCCGGTTCATCAGTAAGTATTTAGTAGATTCTAAAGTGGATTTCTATAGATTCACCTGGAATATCAGAATTAGAAGTAGTAGTAGCGGGCTCTTCATTGTAACTACAGGGGTCATTTGTACTTGTTGTGTAAGCTAGGTTCTACAGTGGTGTATATGCAGGGTAGGTCCATCTGTAATGAGCAAGTTCCATAGTAGCATCATCACGTCCATTAATATTAGTTGCAGTGGGTTCTACAATGGTGTATATGTACCCATCTGTATTTTTTGTAGTACGGTTGGTTCTACGGTGGAAAAAGGTGTTCTGTTCTATTTGAAATGGGTTCTTAAGTGGTGAGTGTATATCCATCTATAACGGTTGTGGTAGGTTTTACCGTGGACAGTGACAGACCCATCATCTTATATGAAATGGAATGAAAATGATCCTCAGAGCAAGTAATCAAAGGAGGTTATGAGATATATATGTGGTATTAGAACTGGTACAATGAGAATCAAGACTGGAAGCAGGATAGGGCCTGAAGACAGTAACGTATATACTTGATATACTGGATGTAGGGATGTGGGGAATTGATTGTGTTGCATATTGGAGGAGAAATACTACATTTTCTACGTCGTATACATACTGGAAGCATATTTTCTTCTACCTGCATGCTCTAGGTTAAAAAGACGCAACATAAACTTGCTTCACTCGATGTTCCGGTTTTCATTGCAACATAAAATACTGAAATTAGTTACCACAGATATATATTGTGTAAAACATGCATATATGCCAATTAAACTGTATGTATAAAAATAAATAATATGATACCTACTTATTTCACAGTTTCTCCCAACATACCCAAGCTGGCAGGAGCACGTGTAATTCATAACCGGGTCAATGCTACAACTTCCACTATGCAAACAGGGATTGGGGTCACATCCATCTGCATCTGCAATAGAAAATAATCCTTGCCAACAAAGGTAGAGACGTGGACTGACAATGGGCTTTTCTAGCGCAAATTTAAGCATGTGTGTGTGTGTGTGTGTGTGTGTGTGGGTGGATGGGTGGGTGGGTGTGCGTGTGTGTCCAATATGCAACACAGTCAATGTATAACACATTTCGACCCAGTCATAATAAAATATAAAGCCATCCTTGATCGATTTATACAAGCACATGCGCGCACAGTCGCCCAAACAATTCTCTCTTCGCACACAAAGAAGCGCAAGGAATTACATATCTTTAAAACATGGGAAATGCGTTTGTTACCTAGTACACCTTGTGCTAGAACAAGATGCCCGAAGTGCAAGATGCACAGTCCCAGGAGGAATTTCATTAGCGTCGTTTTAATGCACATAGTTACATGTGTCTTGAGTCCTGAAAAATGAATAATTACAATACATTAGTTGTTAGTATAATAATCAATATATATCCTCACAATTTCAATAGTTTCTAACCCTTGTAAAGACCTACAAGTATAAAATCAATGTTAGTGAACTACGTTCTCCAAAAAATAATTCCCTATTAAGAACAACCAGGCTGCACCTTAGCCAAAATTGAAGACAAACTTATGTCATTCCGTTAAACTTTGGGTGGAGCTATTCCATAAAAAGGGAGCGAGAAAATGTGTTAATTCTGGATTCTCACCCTCTATTTTTTTTTTTACACCAAGCTCAATTTTACACTAGGCACAAGCTACATAACTTGCACCAAGTGGATTTCGCCAAATACTACCCCCGCCCCATATTGAAATCTTAAAAACATACTGTTAAATAATATGTATCATCCAATAATTACAGTTATATTGTAAATCGTATTAAAATGGGATATGCGGTGTATAAAGAGGAACATGTCTGGGCCCAGCTGTAAACAACCACGTTTCAGATATATGAAAAATAAAAACATGAATTACGCAAAAAAAAATGTCATTCACCTTATTACCTATACGCAGTTCATCTACAACATGTGCATACCGTGTAGAAACCATACGACTGGTAGTATTTAAGTGGGGGTGGGGGTAAGCGAAAGACACGGGAGAGAATTTTTCTAATAACCCCCCCCCCCCACCCCCACCCGGCGTTGACTGGCGTTGCTATAAAATGGGGGCTAACCCCCCTCTCTCCACACACACATACACAAACACACATACACCACTTCCCTGGTGGCTGCGCCTACATCGTATTTATATTGAAGCACATTGAGCGCCTTTTCTTCACAACAGAGACTAGGTCATGTCATCATGAGATCATAAGTCTTCTTTATCGAAAAGTAAAGTATCTTGTTTTTACGAGGTTTTGCCTTTAGCGTGCGCATACATAAGATCAAGGTTAAGATATTTGCATGAAACCGCGCCCCTATACTGTTACGTAAGCTGTCAAATATAACACCCTTCCAGGCGTAACTAATATTACAGAGGCCTTTGAAAATTATGGTAATTTTAACCTGCATATGGAATTATGATAGTAGTAACAAGTAAGTACATGTAGTCACCCTTGGCAATTTGCCACTCGAATGTGTCGCGACCAGACCAGACTAGTCTCTGAGGTCTATGGAATATAAATAAATGCTGCCTCGTGGAAAAAGAAGTTTATTTCAGTATTACGATATGTTACACTGTTTGCTTAACGAGATTTGTTAATAGAAAACCGACCTGGCCTGCCTGACACTATATCAAGCTATCAAATATATTTTTTCATGTTTTTACACCATGTAAGCTCACATAACACGTAGAAGTGCAAAAAAAAACCATTCAAGCAAGATAAATAAATAAATAGATGAATAAGGTGGGCTCAACCACGTACTAAACTTAGGTTGTCTGAAGGTGCATTCACAAATTAACTGGCGTATTAGTTAGTTCGAACTACTCCGCGGGGACTCTCGCTGAATGCAATCCGATTGGCAAATTAAAACGCCTCCTCCTGCTTCCAACGTGCTGGTATAATCTCCAGCTTCTTGGTGTTATTTTCAACATCAGGAGGAGGCATGTTAATCTTTTAATCTGATTGCATTCAGCAAGAGTTCCCGTGGAGTACAATGTACAATGTAAGTTAAAACAACCTAGTGTACGACAGTCCCCGCCGAGTATACATGTCCTTTAGTTCAAACTACCTAATACGATAGTGTCATTGTGAACGCAGCCCAAGGTCGACCACGACATGACCCATGCCACCGTGCCGTAAAGGCGGTACTAATATATTCATCGGGAATGCATGATAGGAGCGGTCATTGAGTTTTAATGTAATATATACAAATTGAAGTTATTTTGAAGCACGTTTAATGTAAACTAAAGTATTAAAATGAAGGAAAAGTGAGTAGAAACCAATGAAAAGAAGAAACGAACGCTCGCACAGACAGAGAGAGAGAGAGGCGGGGATAGAGAGACGCGCTAGCACACACAAACATTGCATGGATTCAATAGACCCCAGCAATATATACATGATGATGAGGGGTGGTAAAAGAGGGCTTTAGTAGCTAACTTGATCCCCCATTCTGTTCATTCCCACAAAAGACTATTCATTTAGCCACAAAGCAGTCTACAGTATGTCCGTCGCTGACGCTGTACCCCAGCTATTGTCATACTGACAAGAGATCAGTATCTTTAGTAAATATTTCACCGCTATTCAATGTGTCAGTACTTAACTATGGGAACAGGTATTCTACAAGTATGTAGGCCTACCTGTATTTTAGGTTGACGCGTTTAAGTATACGGGGACGAACATCCCTTAACTTCGAAGCAAACACCCCCAGAACCACCCCCAAACACCCCACCACAAGGAGGCCATATAAAAATGACAAAAATGACGGTAGGTTGACAATAAGCTACATGTATGTAGTCCGAATTAAAAGCCTCGATTCAGCACCCTTCATTACGATATCCGTAAATAACAGAAAACGTGGATAGCACACGGTGCTACGGGCAAAAATTAGATTTCACTTACAACTGCATATAATACCAATTCAGCAAATATCTTCAGCCTAGCTGTCTTATACTAAAGATGTGTATAATTCAGTTGAACAACAATGATAGTGCCAAATACAATGATATATGCATGGACCCGCCTAACTTAAAAACCCCTCTTGATTCAAAGACACAATGCAGCATAAACGAGCTACATTTACTAGCAGCTAAGCTAATATTAGTAGATGGTGGAGATATTGTGTCACATAGCCCCCCCCCCCCCTACATTCCTTGCCAGTACCGTCCGGGACACCCCCTTCTCTCCTATTTCGATGCCTCTCCAAAACCAGCATAAAAAATCGACACGAGAGAAAGCTCACAAATAATTCAGCAATATGTCTATTGCAGTTAAATTGGCCTCGTATATTTATATTTTAACCATCGTGCCCCGCCTTAGCAAAATCTACGAAGGGTAAGACCAAAAAATAATAAAGAACGTAACTTACCGCGTGGATTTCCCAAGACCGACTAAGACACTTTAACTCGCACCACAGTTCATATGATGAGGGGTTCATCCACGTTAACAATGGTCATCGGTAAAACTTGACACCAAAGAAAGAAAATACTTCACACACCTGACTGATTTCTGAGTGAATCAGCTCTAAATGTCACAAGGGTCAAAAGCGGATGTTTTGCCCTCAGATATATGAATGGCTGGACGAGTTCCTATTCACTGGGTTCCATGCACTTTGTATCGAATTCTCGGAAGTAAACAATGTGCCGGGTGGTATTAAGCAGTTATTCTGGTCAGCAGGGCGAAGAGAAGTGTTGATAGTGACTCTCGTTTTTGTTACTTCGGACTGTTTAAGTGACATCATTTTGGCAGATCTTCACAGAATACAGTGTATGTTCATACGTGCGTCAATAATAAGATCCGGGATTTTGTATGAAAAAAAAATGATGGGTATTTATTCCGTTAAGGCTACTAAAGTCGAATAGAGGATCATGTACACGTAAGACTTTTTGGATGTTGATGCCAGAGCCTTTATGAACGATTAACTTGCAGTAGTTTGTATTACAGATAACATGCAATGTCACCATACATGCACTTTGAGTAAAGATCCTCTTCAAAACAGTCACAAACGGTCTTGAATAGTGTGGTTAAAGGCTCTTACGATTCTTAATGAACCTTAAATGTCGGCTGAAATCATACCTGTAGAAATCCTTGCATAGAGAGTTCCAGTGACTAAAATGCCGAAATACAATGTACTAAAAATAGATTATATTGATTAAGGAAAAAGAAGAATTTCATCTTCTGAACCAGCAGCTTTCCATTAAGGTTCTTGTCAAATCAAGGAACACACTTAATGTACCCTGTGACCATAGGGTGTCCTAGAAGTCTGTTATAAAAACGGTGAAAATCAGTGTGATTTTGTATAGTATTAAAGTGTGTCCCTGGTATCAGAGGGTTCACTTAATACACGGTCTTCATTGGTTCACTGTAAGAGATTGGTAACTTTATAGCCAGGTTATTGTACGTAATAGTGTCACCTAAACGTAGCCGCGGCCCTCGACACGGCCAAGTAATGAACTTAACAGCAAGACGTGAACGTGAGGAGAACTAGTGAAGTGGAGAACACCTCCTCCCCCCCCCCTCCTCCACCCTGTTATAGAGCTTTAGAACCTGACAGAGGTCCGCCAAAGTATCTGCGAAATATACTAAATGTGAACAGAGTCCTCCACCGACATTCTGGCACCAGACGCGGATGTAATGCCTCCATTAACAGTCATGGACTCACGCAGGCGTCCGATTCGCGGAAGTAAAGGTCCAGTGAACGTCACGCCAGGCAAGCAAGCTTGGCCACGTGTGTGGAGAGAAAGGCAACGATCTGATCTTAATAATCAGACATCAGTTCATATTTCGAAATAAAAGCCAGTGAAGATCATCTAAGACAGGATTTCGCACACTCTTGACGTACACACATACATACACGCGCGCGCGCATACATGCACACACATGCACTGTGTATACACACACAGTGAATATAGATACACAAACACATACAGAGGCAGGCGTGCACACACACACACAAGCACACACAAAAAAATCAGTTACACAAAAGATACGAGTCATTAACTTTCTTTAAATATATGAAAAAGCCTGAAAAGAACCAATTAACAGTCCGCTATTCTATATTCCCAAAAATGTCTTCATGAAAGGCGTATTACCCACCGTGTTTGTCATTGTAGACGGAAGAGTTAAAACTGGAAGAGCTAAAACGTGGGATCTTTATACAGACCAACTTAAAATTAAGATGGATATATTAGTACGTACAGTGTGTTACACTGACAAGGCACATCATCGCACTTACCTTCATACTCACTTAAAGGGATAATAACTCTTCGTATGAGGTCTATATTTCACAATAAAAGCATTGGGAATAACTCATAGAAATATAATATATTCTGTTGTATGACAAAAACGACAGTTATAGCTATTATTCTGTTATCTGAGCTTGTCTTCAGACCACGTGACCTCCATTGATGGCTATACTCTGTTATAATCTCTTAAGAGATTTTAACAAAAAACCACACTGAAAAAACCAGGGACTAACTTTGAATGTAAAAATGGTTTCATTAACCATTGGTAAGTATGGGAAAATTGTTGTTTACTCCAGGAAAATTCATTTTTTTGGCCAAAACGAAGAGTTATTATCCCTTTAAACTCATGCATCGGCTCATTAAACGTATATAATCACAAACGCTTTCTTTATTTTAGTTTTCCATGATTGTGAGTCTTTTTGCGGTATTCTCATTACCCGAACAATGTAGTGCACAGACTTGGCATGAGACACGGTGACACTATCAGAGATCAATAACCAATTATCACTGTCGGATATTGTAGTGCATAATATATCCACCCTGAATCTTTTTAAGGCCCTGTTACCCATTAGTAAGAATTTTAAGAGTTTTTTACCACATTATTTATGTCTTTCAATAAATCCGTTTGTGATTGTTTTGAAGCAAAGTTTTACTGAGTATGTGTACTATGTCTCTGTTTTTTTTTTATTATTTTTTTTTTATTTTTTTTCCAGTTATTGAACCTTTTTGTTTTGCACCCTGAGTCTGTCGCTGAAGACGTCAGGGACAAGCTGTTAATGGAGGGGACTATCGATTAAGTGCCCTCTGAAAATCAGGGTGTTACTAGAAACGACAGACTTCTTGAAAATTTAGGTGAGTTTTTATTAATCTCTGAGCCTCGGGGTGCTACTAAGAGTGCATTCCCAAAGATTTTTAGATCGATCTATCCCTTGGGGAGTCTCACTAGATTGGTGTCAGCCTGACTGGCTTAAATGTCTGTCCCGCCTACTTAAAGCTGTAAGGGGGTAATTAACTTTTGTGCGCGCTCGGCTCTCGGAACCTGATAGCAATTTAGCGTGAAACCCCAAGGAGTTAGGTCGATCCGGATAGATCGATCTAAATCTATGGGAACCCAGTCTAAGAACAGCAGGGTTATGCTGATGTAGAGGAGAGTTTCCAGTGTACCCTGAAATTCAAGGTGATTTCATCCGGCTCATATACTAGTACAACATTGGAAATAACTATATCTAGAATACTAGATCTAAGTCACTAAGAGACACGGGCCATCCTATGCATCCAACGGGCTTTAGATCGTTACAGTGTATTTAGCAACATTTTGACTTTTCTTGAAATACCATAGTCACAGTTTCGGATGGGGTGTACCTTTGTGAGGAAGGGGACATTGCTGGAATTTCTAGGCAAATTCTTGGTTAATTCTACATATAACTCAGTGTAACGTGCATCGTGCGCCTCGAAGCTTCAGTGTGCACTATCATGTATATGTGTTACAAATCAAAAGTGACAACCTGATTGCAGTAGGAGATATATATGAATGTGCTAAAACAACCCTTATTTTTCTATTTCTTTTTATATATACATTTATTTATCTAAATATTTATAACATAAGGCCTACAAGTCCAGCGGCCGGTTATTCAAATATTTAAAAGGGCCACAGCGCAAAAAAAAATGGCCAAAGCTTTAGATCCAAAATCAGGTCTATTTCTGTTCAAGCAGTATATAATTCATCTCAATCCGCTTAAATGTCAGATCAGCCACTAGATAGCAAGGTGTAAATAAAATGTCCACTACCAGGGCCACAGATTGATTTTTATTATATATTTACAGGTATGTCTCTGGCTAATTTATGGTAAAATTCTCTATCGCGCTGGGGAAAAGTGCACATAATTTAAGGGATAACAACTCTTCAATTTGGCAGAAAAAGTACCATAAAACGGAATTTCTTGGGGTAAATGACAATTTTCCCATATTTTCCAGTGGTATATGTATCCGTTTCGACATGCAAAGTAAGAAGAGATTAGAGAGCTTTGGCAAGGCCTTCCGTACGACGTATAACGTACGACGTCATCACTTTGTGCGTAGTTTTTCTCAAGGACAAGTCATAAATCATACGGCACTACGTATGAATCGGTTATTACACGTAGGTAAGAAACGTATCGAATTTAATACATTTACGCTTATTTCTTTCAAGTTTAACATACTGCAGAGGAATATATAGGGTGTTAAGATTCCACTGAATCACTTTTAGACGCTGTCGGTAGAAATACTCTGTGAAAACAGCTGGAAAAACAGCCAGTCAATCAGTCGTCCGTAGTATCAAATTCAATTTAAGTTGATTTTTTTTTTTTTTTCATAAACAACAGGATCTGCGGCATCAATTGACGTAAATAACACATTCCATTCAACATCTTAATTATTCATCTATCTAAAAAGAATCCACAAGCAGTTCGCGGGACAGAAGTAGCTGAACCTTTTTTTTTTTTTTTTTTTTTTTTTTTTTTTTTTTTTTTAACTAGCGGCTCAGATTCCAGAATAAATGTGATAACCGCCGTTTTGGTGCTAAAATGGATATTTCATATATCTGTGTGTTGTCTACAATGCATTTATTGTAGAATTCTGAATATCATACGTTATGCTTTTAATCTGCGTCCCTGGTACAAGTGATATGTGGACCACCCTCGTGCTCAGCACTAAATATACACATCACATATGTTTTTTTAAGTATCAGAGAATAAAAAACAATTCAGCGCGAAATGATTTCCTCGATAGTACATCAGTACTGTTCATTCATTTCCATGCAGTTGTTGCATTTACACGTCACAATTAATCGACTGATAAATGGCCGGTCGATATTCACAAAAGAAAATGTACAGTGAGATCCTATTTCCGCTTACCGCAGTATGACTGAATTACAAAGAAACATTTGCATTTGAATACGAAACTTGAATAGCATCCGTTTTTCTTCATTGTTTTTTTTTTTTTTTTTTTCAGATTCGTCATACAATGTAACAACATAATGGATAACACGCAGGAACTGTATAATTCCATATGACATACATGTATAATATGAATATTTTCTATTCCAAACTAAATAAACCTTTCAAAATTATTTAATATAACTATGTATATAAATGGTTATTTGATTCAAGCTGGAGTAGTTCTTAAAAAGGTTTTAATTCGTCTTCCATTACAGGATGCACAGACGTAGAATTTAGATCTAGAACGACGACCATTCATGATGATGACGATGTAGATACCGGTGCATGTTGGATTCACATATCATAGAAGGCAAGTGTCATGACCGGTTGAAGTTTTTGAAAAGGCTCACCCTTAATATACACGTAGACGTACAAAATTTATTCTAGAAAATATCTGGAGGAGGCAGCGGACATTTATTCATTTATTTATTTGTTTGTTTATTATTCTTATTCTAATTTTTTTTTNTTGTCCTTTAAGGCTACTAAAGTCGAATAGAGGATCATGTACACGTAAGACTTTTTGGATGTTGATGCA